CGAAAATGAAAACTTATGTAGTAAAGAAAGCAAGCACTTTAATTCAAATCTATCTAATCTTAATATTCAAATCTTAAAATTCACACATTCACAGAAGGGTAGACACCCCGTGAAGCTTGGCAAGTCCACGCTCAGTCTGCGAGTCACGCCAACTTGATGTTTTGTCTGGGAAAATGTTTACTGTTGGCCGAATCTAATGTTGATCAAATGGTTCGGCTGCCGGCTTTTCGAAATAATTTTATTCGTAGATACGACTTTGGTTTATGGCTGAAAACTTCGGATGCCTTAAACAGAATTAAAGTTTGTCGTTAAATACGATTTTATTACCCTGATTTCTGTTTTTTACCGCTGTTTTCGGAGAGGTTATTGTCTAAAGGTCAAACACGTCGATCGAACATATTGCAAACTAAATATAAGCTGTGTGAAACAAAACTAAGCTACAAGGATAGTTTCAAATTCAAACTTTGAGAAAAGTCCTATAAGCCACAGATTTAAGAATTCAATTCGTCGGAAACTTGTAGAAAAGAGTCGTAAACAAATAAGCGCTGCTAAATCTAAGCAGGCTTATACAAACAAAATTATACAAACCTGCTTCAGTTGCTAAAGCCACAAGGAAACTGTTGGGTGTTAGGCGTGCCCATATTTAGAGGAATCAACGCATACTTTCATATGCAGAGATATGGCATGTGCTCTCGTTATTTATCGGTGGCGCATTGTGCCGAAATGCAAGGGGATTCAAAAGCACGCAGCGCAAACGATTTTAGGTCAAAAACAGAATTCATGTGGCGTTATGAATGTTGCAGGCGGAAGTGCCTTCCTATTGTTCTGTTTGATCTTGCCGCATTCAAGATTTTTGCGCAGACCTTATTTGTAGTTTGGCTGCAGTCTTTAATTGTGATTTTATTGAGGACAAGGACATAAGAGAGAGACATATGCTTCCAGAAAAGTGGGCGGCTATGTATCAGCTTCCACCCGCGCCGTTATAATATTGCTAAAAGGACGCTAGTTTACAGCAACTGTGTATCATTATTTATCGCGAGCAGACTATGTACATAGTATTTTAGTTTCAATTACTGATATTAAGGTATATTATAAGCATGCATTTATACCGCTACCCTGTCTATTTCTGCCACAAAGCAGTCCTATGTGCCAAACTAAGGTTGAGACAACAGTCACACTTTACAATTGGGACTCATGTCTCAAGGTAGATGGTGGCATTAAATTTGTGATGTCTATGGACTTCTAAGTCTGCACAAAAAAGAAATTTAAAAGATTGTTGATTGTAATACCTAGCGAATATAATAAATATCTCTGTAGATCAAATTAAAAATGACATGCCACGGAAAGGTCTCTCATAAATTTCTTCTAAAGAAGGTCACAACGATACGAAAGTTAGTAAAAGAACATGGAATTCCAAAGCTTATCGTCAAATAAATCATGTATTTGCATATTTTACATTGTGATTCAATACGCATTACAATACAATATTGTTCGATGTGATTGTATTTAGAATAAGGTGGGTTCTTTTTTGAACCAAGTCTCTGCATTGAAACGTCACGTCAAAGTCAGATTGCCTGAAGATAGAGATTGTGTAGATCTGTCGAGACGCTCCCTCATTCTTTTTTTTTTCTTTTTTATTGCTTAGATTGGTGGACGAGCTCACGGCTCACCTGGGGTTAAGTGGTTACCGGAGCCCATAGACATCTACAACGTAAATGCCGCTATCCACCTTGACACAGGAGTTGTAAAGATCTCAGTTTTAACAATACAACGGCTGCCCCGCCCTTCAAACCGAAACGCATTATTGCTTCATGGCAGAAATAGGCAGGGTGGTGGTATCTACCCCTGCCGACTTACAAGATTCATTTATTATTATATAATACACAAATGACGCATTAGCAGTGATCCTAATAAGGTGGAACAAAGGCTCGTTCACGCATTAACTTTTTACGTCTTTGTTCACCCATTTTTAATATAATATATGAAGGTTTTGTATAGTTGGTTTTCCAAATAAAATAATAATAAAAAAGTGATTCCTAATATAAGATGGACACGTGCCACTGTTCAGATATTGTAGACAACATGTGAGGTGTGTTTACGAGTGTGTAGCTCGCGACATTAGCAATATATTTACGATAGATCAGTCATGGTTTGAATAGACTATACAACATAGAGTGGATGCAATTTGCTTGCAATAAGTTTGTTTGCTTGATTCTAACATATTGCGCAAATGGTTTATGATGGCTCTTACACAGCCACTCTGTCTTATTTATAAGTTTAAAATATTAGTAAGTGTTGTTTTAAAATTGAAACAACAATGTTAAAATTTGACTAAGTTTAAAATATTAATTAATGTTGTTTTAAAATTGAAACAACAATTTGACTTGAATTTTGTAAAATTTTTTTTATTGTGAAAAAACATATGAACAAAATTAAAGTCAGCGTGAACTATTTGGAGAGGAAACCGGTTTGCTCCATGATTTTGTGGACTATTTTGGGCAATATTTAAATGAGCTTAAAAATCAATTTCGAAATTATTCAGGTTTTAACTGTTCAACAATACATTATTCTCAACTGATGATCGAAGTTGAGGTTTACGCTTTCTTCTCTTACTACGCCTTTACGATTCTAGTCTTTCGTATTATCTTTTCTGTTCTCAAACATCGACACCTTACGATTAGAAAACTTTCATCGTTCAATATCACTGTTATAGTAATTAGTTTTTATTTTATTTTTTATTGCTTAGTTGGGTGGACGAGCTCACAGCCCACATGATGTTAAGTGGTTACTGGAGCCCATGGACATCTACGACGTAAATGCGCCACCCACCTTGAGATATAAGTTCTAAGATCTCAGTATAGTTACAACGGCTGCCCCACCCTTCAAACCGAAACGCTTCACGGCAGAAATAGGCAGGACGGTGGTACCTACCCGCGCGGACTCACAAGAGGTCCTACCACCAGTAAAAAATTATAAAACCACCAGTAAAATATTGCACAATATCTCGATAGCCTGCAGCCTTGTGGGTGTTTACACCAATTTATTCATTGAAACACGTGCTTAATATGTGTTCACTGACAACTTTCATACGCTTACGAAGGAATCATATTAGATAAGTTATTATGTTGGAAAATATTAGAATTTCAACTGCGTCGACATTTACTTCGCAGTACGTATGTACTCTGGACTATATGATTGAGATGTTCTTTTTTAAGCGAATTTTCTAGACAGCCTCCAGTGGTAGGAAGCGATCTGGTTTCGCTCCTGATCTCTGTGACGGTGACTATTTATGTTCAAGTGGACCATATACTCATCCGTGTCGGCATTAACATCCAACTGTTACGCGCTAGGGGTTCGGGATAAATAAAATTTTACCGAAGTACAAATTAGAAACTGTATTCAACACTTATAACACTTAAAATACTTCACAAATACTTTAAAATTCTCAACTCGCTTCTTCCGCTTCTCTCCAGGTGATCCATTCGCTGTTTCGCTTCGAGTAGTTCCGACTACCACATCCCTAGAATTATCGAGAATATTCCACACGTTTCGAGTATTGTGTTTCTGCTATCTGACAATAGATGGCGTTGTACTTCTTGAGCGTTCTAGGTGCTACTAGATCCTCCGATATTCGTTCGACTATTCGGCGATGGATGGCGTTACTCTTACCGGCGTAACACAATGAATCCAGTACCGGAAGCTCATACAAGATAACCAGGATTCCGAATGTCGCAAACATCTTTAACAAGGAAAAGGACATCAACCCAGAGTCGAACGTAGCGTAGTCAGTGTAACCACTAGGCCGGTCAGGCTAATATAAATATAATCTAATTATTTTGTGATTAGAACAAAATTACAACCGGACATACCTGCGATATATTTTTCAGTAAAGGCCGAGTGATTCATTCGTCCGCCATCATTTGCGCGAGATAAAGACTTTGTTTATATCTTTCGATAATATTTAGATTTGAACACTTAGTTGGGATATCTGGCTACTATTCGATTGGGGAGATGTAGTTTTTATTTATTGTTTCGTTTGCGTTTGGATTTCTAACGCAGGTAGGTGCAATGTTTGTATTGCGTTTTCAGTTTGTTGCGGGCAAATATTGTTTTTTTTTAGCAGAGCACTCTGCATCTTGTTTGCGTTAACTGTTTAACGGATCTCAGATAATTCTGCTTCTTACCTTGAGACGGTTGAATTGTAGTAGAAATAGTTTTCTTCCGCGCTCGCGGGTCGCGTGTAACTAACTTATTGAGCAGGTAGCAGATTGCGAGTATGAAGACAACTAAAGTGGCGGATGAAAGGCGATTGCATACAGCAAAGATGCGAATGTTGCGATGGATGTGTGGAGTAACGAGAATGGATAGAATACGGAATGAATATGTTAGAGGGAGTCTGAAAGTGGCACCTGTGACAGAGAAGCTGAGAAGTGCGCGTTTGGGATGGTATGGACATGTGATGAGACGAAATGAAAATGAGGTTGGTAAGAGAATGTTAACTATGAATGTGGAAGGATATAGAGGAAGAAGTAGACCTAAGAAGAAATGGATGGATTGCGTGAAAGACGATATGGGTAAGAGGGGAGTGAGCGAAGAAATGGTATATGATAGAAGAGTATGGAAGGAGAAAACATGTTGCGCCGACCCCAGGTTACTGGGAGAAGGGCAGGATACTGATGATGATATGATGTTGCGAGTTTGATGAACCGGTATTTATGTTTCCATATCTGTTTAATGAAGAGTAAATAAATAAAGGCTTCTTCATGAATTCGTTTGACTGCGACAGTTAAAAAGGTATATTCAAATACTGAGGTATATATTGTTGATATATTGGCTTCACAAACAGAATAATTTTAAAGATAGTTTTTTTTCAACTAGAGCCCCACGTTGGGCGCCACTTAGCTATATTTCATGTTATACGGCTTTAAACGAAAGGTCAGTGGTAGCAAACAATTCTAGCAGTTTTAAGTACAGTTGTATAATGGTTTGATTGTTCACAGGACGAGTTCCATCCGTTCATAGAGGCCCTAATGCCTTTCGTTAAATCGTTTTCGTACACGTGGTTCAATTTACAAGCGGCGAAACGGAAATATTACAAAAAACACGAGAAACGGATGAGTCTTGAGGAGGAGCGGCATACTAAATATGAATTACAGGTAAGACAAACGTAATTGCACTTTCCTAACTCTTAACAAGCGTAATTGAGTCGACTCGACGCTTTTATTTCCAACATCGAAATCATGTATTTATGTATACTAAAATAGAGTTCATTAAATGTTTTTACATAATCGCTGTTTCTGAAAACGCCACAGAGCCAATTAGAACCTAATAAGATTTGTAGTTTTTATTTACATTAAGACAGGTTGAAATAACCTCGATTACATTGGTGTAACACTCATATTACACTCACGACACTATTTTTTAATCGTTGTCTCAAATATCTTACCGAAGTACTGATACATTGAAATTGCTTTTTTACTTTTACAGATAAGAGTTCTTTAACTAAGCGTGTGCCTAAATTTCAGTTTGTATAAAAGGTATAAAGGCCTGCATTATGAAGACAAGCTCACGGCTTGTCAGGTGATATGTGTCACCGTAGCCCGCGGTGGCCTAAAAGTCGTCGTGGCCTAAAGGATAACACATCCGGTGCATACCTATCTTGTGACGCACTGGTGTTCGAATCCCGGCGGGTACCAATTTTTCTAACGAAATACGTACTTAGCGAATGTTCACGATTGACTTCCACGGTGAAGGAATACTTCGTATAATAAAAATCAAACCTGTAAAATTATAATTTGCGTAATTACTGGTGGTAGGACGTTTTTTGAGTCCGCACGGATAGGTACCATCGTCCTGCCTATTTCTGCCGTGAAGCAGTAATACCTTTCGATTTGAAGGGTGCGGCAGCCGTTGTAACTAACCTGAGACCACAGAACTCATATCTCAAGGTGGGTGGCGGCTTTTATGTTGTGGATGTCTATGGGCTCCGGTAACCACTTAACACCAGGTGGACTGTGAGCTCGTCTACCCATCTATGGAATAAAATAATAAAATAAGGCCCGTTAAGACACGAAGTAGAAGTCTGTATTGGACCATGTAACCGCTGCCGCATCTTCCATTGCCGGAACATCTGACTACTTCTTGATTGCAGTGGGCGCGACGATGGTGCGTAATCTTAGTAAATTTGGTTGCAGTTGGGAGATTAATAACAATGTATTGACATTGTTCATGACTCGTGGCACAGTTGCATTAATATATTATATTGGGTAAAAGTCAGTCAATTTAACAAAAAACAAAAAATTTGAAATCAGACTGCATCAATTTACTATGTAAAAAAAATTGAATTTTCAGAATGAAAAAGCAGAAGTCAAACAAAAATGGGCATCCCGGTTACTGGGCAAGCTCCGGAAGGACATCACCCAGGACTGCAGAGAGGACTTCGTGCTCAGCATCACGGGCAAGAGGCCGGCGGTCTGTGTCCTCTCCAACCCGGACCAGAAGGGCAAGATGCGGAGGATAGACTGCTTGAGGCAGGCCGATAAGGTCCTTAAGAATTATTTCACAAATATCTTCAGCTTATGGACTGTGAATTTTATCAAACTGTAAAAGTGACCCTTTTTTAAATCGCGGCTACTTTGTGTTTGTATAGCTTTCGATAACAGCTAAGCATACGGCCCATCGATGAAGAATCGTAATTGCTCTTGGACAGTTGCAATATCAGGCACAGTTAAGACGCTACTTATCTGTGTTGATTTATTTTAAACCTCGCTTAAAATAAATGAAAAGGGTAGGTCAGAGGCTCAGGAAAAAGATCAGATAGATGATATAGGTCATATAGGTGAGATAGATGTCTCATCTCGAGGTGGGTGGTTTTATTTATATTGTACCATTTAAGAGTCCGCCACCGCCTAAATAAGCCCGCGAGCTATCCAAGAGATTAACTAACAGAGATGTACAGGCATATTATTAAAACATTCGTATTGTGGTTTTGAAAATTGAGCCAAAAATCTTTATACCGAAATCACTGAGGGGACATTTCAATTTTTATTTATTCGCTTGTATATTGTGAATTCTATAAATGTTTGTAGCCTCACAGAGATCTTTACTATGACGCTCAGAGCACACATGTTTGTGTTCCCAAATAGAATCCGAGTATAAATGGATCCAAGCTATTCAGATGTCGAGTGCGTTTGTAATATTCCTTTTGTATTGACTACGATACAGCTAAAGGAAGTTAAGATTTTTGTCTAAAAATACAGCAGGTCCGTGTGCTCGGGTCATTTAGTCTTTCGGAGCTCTTAAGCTAAGTCGTTGTAGTTTGGCCAATATCTCAGTGTATCGCAACGTAATGGTCTTAGTTCATTTGTTAATATCGCGTATGGTGTACGTGTGATAGAACACCTCGAGAAGTGTAGGTGAAGTCTTAAAATTATTTTGTTCTTTGTGTACTTCGCAACGATTCTGTCCTTTTAAGCACGACTCTAGCAGTGGAAGGCATAGGACGGCAGCATATCTCACAGCCCACCTGGGGTTAAGTGGTTACTGGAGCCCATAGACATCTACAACGTAAATGCCGCTACCCACCTTGAGACATGAGTTCTAAGGTCTCAGTATAGTTACAACAGCTGTCCCACCCTTCAAACCGAAATGCATTACTGCTTTATCGCAGAAATAAGCAGGGTGTTGTGACTAGTGTCATCATCATCTAACGTTTTGTAACAAAATAAAAAATTAAATTGATCCCGATAAAATCTTTGAATAATATCGTCCATCATCTATATTCCAGGTGTGGAGACTAGATCTGGTCATGGTGATACTCTTCAAAGCCATACCCTTGGAGAGCACGGACGGAGAGCGACTAGAGAAGCACCCTGAGTGTACGCAGCCAGGTCTCTGCGTGAACCCGTACCACATCAACGTCTCTGTCCGCGAGCTGGACCTCTACCTCGCAAACTTCATCAACAGCTATGGTAATGGGAGCGACGGTCTTCCAGGTCTTTCGCTCAGTACTTGTATTTTCTATCAGCTTAAGTGTTTGGGTGCTGTTGACTAATAGATTAGAAGGTCTGGACTTGCAATGAGAACTATGATAATTAACACGATGAGTGCTCTTAAGAATTATGTACTTGTAAAAGCATTGTAGTAAGAGTTCCTCTGTAATTCGCAATGAATAGATAAATGGCGGTTATACTTAAAATATAAACGAACTGATATTGTGTAAAACCGCCAGTCCACAGCGCTCATTCATTGTCTGGTTGTTCTAGTTGCTTTATATTTGAGTAGTAGAATATCGAATTATCTTACAATATTAATGCGCCATTACATACATATCTAGCTTGTAATCTATTGCTTCAAATTACCGGATTTGAACATCATGCCAATTTCGATTTCTGGTTTCAAAACCCTACCGCCACAATTTAAAAGTTATTTTAATAGTACCTATTTAATCTGGCCACTATGACGAGCGCTAAAGATAAACTTGGATACGCCCAGTAATTTTTATTTTCAGTTTCTTTCAAGCGACAGTTAGTCGGAATTGACAATGGCACGGGCTAAGATCTATTTATAACAAACAGTTGATTTAATTTTGTTAGCTAAAAAGTATAGCTTAGTTAAAATCTAGAAGACAAACCACCACCTTACTGTTAAAGCTAGAATATCCTCTTAGACTACTAGCGAACAAAAAAAAAACCATGTTAATATTTCATAATAGCAGCTCAAGGTTTTAAACATTGAGTGTACACAGAAAAGAAAATAGCTTTATCAATAATCTTTAAAACCTTGATAATAGAAGAAGAGAATTAATTTTGAGTTAGTTATTCAGTTAGTAATTTTATATTAATTGTTATTGTCAAATAAATAATATTTGTCCGTTTGTCCTGGGAAGACAGATGTGAAATTAGTGTTAGAAGTCATTTCATTACTTCAGCACAAGAACTCTACACCATTTCTCCTTACTGAATGCGGTCGCCTGGTGTACGGAATGATCTGGTACCATCAAGCTATAATTCTGTTCTCCGTGATTTCAATAATTGCCTATTAAAATATTAAATGGCTATAAAACTCATACATTAGCTGTCAACTACAATTCTAGAACGACTTTTTGGTCTTATTTGGCACACGTTCAAATGTCCCTTAGTGCAGCGATGACACAGTAAATAATACATTTAATAGTCACAGCCAAAGCGGTGCGGTCACATGCTTTCGGAGATATTCAAAATAAATTTGAATCCATTGTGAATCATTGTAGAAATATAGCTCAAGTAATGGCTGATTCTGAACATGTTCATTGATCATTTATTGATTATCTTTTCGAGAAAATAGAGAAGTCACAATGCGGTATATTGTACAGTAATTAGTCGTAACACTATATTTTACCAAATAAATATGTTTCGGTAAAGATTATACACAGTTCAGACAGACGTCGTCTCATTGCTCTCTATGGGTAGATCCGCACGGGTAGGTACCACCGCCCTGCCTGTTTCTGCCGTGAAGCAGTAATGCGTTTCGGTTTGAAGGGTGGGGCAGCTAATATAACTTTAATTGAGACCATAGAACTTAAACCTCAAGGTAGGTTTCGCATTTACGTTGTAGATGTCTATGGACTCCAGTAACCACTTAACAACAGGTGGGCTGTGAACTCGTCCACCCATCTAAGCAATAAATAAATAAATATTATTTTAATAATTTAATGTACACATTTATACATGCCCAATATAGGTAATTTTGGGCAAATCCTTTCTAAAGCAGTTTTTTTTACATAAAAATAGTGCCAATGTATTATGTGTACCTATCTATAGTGTATAGCACATTATCTTGGCTAAAAAAATAATTTAAATCGTTAAATATTGGTGCAGCCCAAATGAGTATTTGTTTAAACCATTGGCATGTTATCCATCGCATTACGCCAGAGATATTCACTGAAATGTTAACAACTTACCCCCTTATCGTGGCCCCCGCTAATGACATAACCGACCCAGGGGACGAGGCAACGTAAAGCTGCCATTGCCCTAAATATATCTTATCGGGTCTCCCGGATCCGCTCTCGGTGCTTTTAGGTTCTTCAAGCACCGGTCACTGCCCTTGTCAAATACGACGAAGAGTTCGTCGTGCAATCTAAGACTAATATATAATTCTCGCCGAATATTCTCAGTGGGTCTTGATTCGGATCCGGTGGTAGATTCAGCGAAGCACTCCTCTTGTTAGGGCTAGTGTTAGCATCTCTAGGTCGAGCCCATGAGCTCACCTAATAGTGCGAGCGTAAGTGGAACGCCCCTTAGAAGCGAACAATTAGGTAGGAAAAAAGGATTACAACAGCTGCGTACAATCAAGCGAACAAACGATACGTAGGAACAAAAAAACAAAACCTGGAAACATTAATTTCTAATAAAAAAATATTGAAAACTTAACTGATTATGATAACAAAAAAACCAGAGTAGCAATTTATACTAAAACGAGAATCGTATTTGAAATAAGATAGAATTGAAGGGAATATTTCTTCTAGTCTAGAATGATCCGTGTGTGAATCGGTAACTGGTAAAGACATGTTTTGAGATTCAACTTGAGTGGATCTTCTTTGTTCTATGTTGTAGATTATTGCTTGAACGTTTCTATCATTTTATATCCAAAGGCTTTAACTTTTGTTTAAGCTCGTAGATATAGAAGAAAAAAATTAGTTTTGTATGCTGACGTAGGGTATATAGAAATCTATTGTATTTATCGGATGTGTTTCAGATATCCTAAGTGGGTCCATCTCTCCTCATCCACCTAGAGACAAAGAGAACGAACACGAGGCTAAGAACAAAGGTAACAGCTGCAATTTACCGTGCACTGTATTGTGTCGTATGTTTGCCGTTGTGACAATCGATTATATACCTTGTCGTATGAGGTGTGAGATTATAAATTATGTTGTATTATAGTTTAGGGTTATGCCTTTGTTAGGTCCATTAGACCTGTGAACTTTTTTCTTGCAATAGCGTTAAAGATTAGATTCATTATTTCATGCCAATGTATCAATGCAAATTATACAATATAAACCATTATGTAAATAAGATGGTTTGTTTACAATTTCCTTATTTTTGGTTTTCAATAAGATCCTTTGTATACAAAGAAAGCACCACGTTTCCTCGAATAAATAGTCGAACATTGCTATCCTACTTGTGTTGTCTAATGCCAACACTAAGAAATAGCTTCACACAATGTAGATTATTTGTCCGGCACTACCGAAGTCTATGGCCGGCGGTGACAGCTCCTCATAAGTTGGCCTGTAGGCTTGTTTACCAACTGGTTATAAAAGGTTCTGATATCCCACACCCCTTCCTCTGATATTACGACAGTAGAAAGCTATATCATCGATTGTCTCAGCATCGATTGGTGTTGTTTTGTGAAAATTCTGGTCATTCAAAAACAATTTAGAGTTGCACTCACTCTCTCGAGCTTCCGTTGAGAATTAAAATAGGAATGTTACGTTTATTTGGTCTGTGTTCATTCTCTTTAACTCAGTATTTTGTTTTGTCAATGCTTTACTAACATTATAAAAGGCAGTTTTAGTGTTGCAGATCCAAGTTACAGGTGGGCTGTGGCTTGTCCTGTTTCATAGGCTTAAAACTTATTCTGAAACAAATTACAATTTACGGGCAATTAATTTTTTTGGGTTTAATTAGAGCATAAACAGACCGGTTAGCCTGAGACCACGACAGAGTCCGAAGCGTCAAACTGATCCGAAATGTAAAAATGTAGAGTGAAGCATTGATATAATTAACCCTGTAAATATGTCACAGGTGTGTGGTATCGAGGTGTAAAAATGTTTAATAACTCTTTGCTTACCTGTAAACGAGACTTGGAATACTATAATATAAGTCTTCAATTACGCTCAGGTCTTGGTAATTGATTTAAAGGTATAATGTTTTCAATAATTGTGTGTTATCATTATTATTTTTTATACCGATATGATGAATCGGACAATATTGAGTGTAAGATTGTTTTTTTCTAATTTCGTATACTGTGATAGATTCCAGTGATTCTGTCTCGGGTGAAGCTTCAAATATTGTAACTAAAACGATTTTGCATTCCTCGGTATCAGCGTTTGGTCAACTGATAGACTTTTTTTGTAGGCTCTTTTTTACTTAACTTTTTTTGTCTACGAGTTTTATCTCCTAAATTTGTCCAGAGAGGGAAGACAGAAATATGTTTAGAAAGTTTTATGAACGAAATACGGTTATTCTATAACTTTCTACTGTCAATACTCGAGAAGATTGAGCATTCGTGAACATACATTTAATTATGTTAGTAAAATCCACTAATCTACTGATTGGTAAAGAATTTAAATAAAAAAATATGAGATGCTCTACCGTCAATTTTATGGTGAAGCTTGTACGAAATTATTTACGACATTAAAGTTGGTCTGTTTTGCGAAGTGTACACATGGATAAGGTAAGTTTCTGTGTACCCTCTCTGTAGTTTAAACGTAAGTACTCCACCTCCATAGTTTGTTTGCAGAGAGACATTAGTATTGCTTGATATTGAAACTGCTAATTCGCAGGTTATAGTCACAATCCATACAATGGTGTTATTTGCAACGACATAATACTAGCGACGGGTGTCTTCTCTTCTAAGGAACTATGGAAGTTGTCTAAAGGTACGTTGCATTCGTTGTTTAACTCACAACTTGGGTTTTAACTAACTTTAGTTTACATGGATGATGTCTTTGTAAGCGCAATCACCAACGCAACTTTTCGATTAGTGTGATTTTCATTTTGATGTTTTGTATGTTGCTTTTTAATAATAAAATTCAAACTTATTTAAATCAAAACTATTTACGATCTTGTAAGCCCGTGTGACTACTGTACTGCCATCATTGAAACTGCCTTTCTGTTGAACAGATGGGTTCTAATGAAATTACAACTTTGACATTAATTGCCTTAATATTGACATGTCAATGCCTTCTGGAAGCCTCATAGCCTTGTGAGCTCATATGAAATTCTGCGTCCGTGTAATATCAGTTGTTTTGCAAAAAAAGCTTATAATAATATAGTTTCGTAAGATGTTTCTTACTAAGTGGCAATATTTTCGATCTATAAGCAATTTATGATAGAAAGCTTCATCATAGAGAGACTTCCAATCCAATCTAATGCTATTTCTAAATAAAGTTCATTTAAAATTTATAATGGTATTACTTCTGGTCAATCACTAGAATACCCTCTTTCTTCGTCTCCAGCGTCAATCCTGCAAGAGACCGGTTCTGAATCACCTGGTGGTTCCGGTGGTGGTATCAAGTTGGAATCGGGATATTACTGCGGGTACAATAGTCCAGCACCACCCACCTTCGATCCTCCGGCGGAGAGGTCCACTCCGTCGACCATGCTTGTCGGGCAGTGCTTTAGTAAGTATTTTTTTATATTATTTAGTTGACGAATATACATATATTCCACTTGATGTAAAAGTTCATTTATGGTGTTATTAAAATGTGGTCCCAAGACCTGAGATGACGAGTACTGATAGGTAACATCAAAAGTAATGATTGATAATGTTAGGTTGAAGTGAGAAACTCGCAGACGACGTAAATAGGGATCCGTGTAAAGTATAAAATATCTTATCTATATAACTTATCTTCAATCTGAATCAAAATACTTCAGGTTGGAGGAGGTTTGCCTTGTAAAGAACGGAATAGAAACTGGTACTATGGTAGTTAAATAAACCTACTTATGAAAAAGTTAAATGGGCAGTTATTCATATCACCACAATAGTTGTCTGCAGGTAACAATTATGCCACACCGTTCTTTGCTCATTTTCTCTCTGAATGTTAAGTGGGGAGTGAGTCTATTAAAGTTTAGTCTTATCTTAGAATTGTCCTGGTTCTCCAGCCTAGGCTACGGAAAGATGATAGAAGAGTATTAGGTGAAGCTTTCTACTGAACAGCCTAATTACTTCTAAGATGCTTGTAAATAGATTTCGCGGGGCATTTTAGCTTCGGCGCAGAGAGCGTCTGAATTTGGTTATCGACCCGCCAAGCTTACTGAGCCTTTACGATGCAGGATTTTGGTCTCCGGAGACCGCCTAACATTTCAGCAGACGACCTCGGCTTGCCTGCTATTACAAACTCTCTATGAAACCTGAGGTCGAAGACTTTTGTAATTCCGCTATCCCACCCTTCAAACCAGAGCGCGTGTTATTCCGGGACAAAAGTATTACAGAACTTCCCCGAGCGTACTTACCATACAAACAAGGCTCCTTACTTTATTATCCACATCAATTAATTACACGAACATTACACGCAATACGAAACAATGTAACATAATGTGTATTGTGTATAGGTCGGTCAGCTCTAGAAGTCGTGCAGTTTGGTATTTGTATGTAAGTCACGTGCTCCCGCGAACTGAATAAGCGCCGAGTGGAATGACATTAGTATTGTAGTGGATCGGGTTTGTTGACCTTTATATTAGTCTTCTGAACTCGCGATGAGTAGGAAAACCATATTAAATATACAGTTTAGTCGAGGTATTTGTTGATTATATGGGTTTGGGTTTACTTACAGGATAGTTGTAATTCACGGGACATCGCACTGACTCCTGACTATTCCGCAGAATATAGGCCCTTAATAGTAAGGAAATAAGATCAAATGCTAGATTTTAGGCTTAAAAAGTAAAATGCTTCACAGGTATCCCCCACAGCTCAGCGGGTCTGAGTTCAGCCCAGTCGCCGCTGGTGCCGTCCAACACGATATTCTACCAGCCGCCGCCCGCGGACACGCACCCCAATAGTGAGTCCGTAGATTTATCTTACCTGTAATCATAATGGAAACTTCTAGATAAAATTTGATTAAATGGCCTAGCGCGGGCTGACTTGGGTCATTGCAGACAACTGTCGATCGACACTTACAAGTAATAGCCGTTGTACCCTTCAAGCGGACGCGCAGTTGTTGTCTTACTGTATAAAGTCTATGGTGTGAGCCCGCGTGAGCCTACTACGAATTTAAGACTTGAGTGAGAACGTTTTAGAAACATTAGACAATTTGGTGCTCTGTGTCAAGACAAGTCCTTTCCGTCCTCAGCATCAGAAGCCTTAACGAGTCATCATTCGAGCGCGAAGTACGAGGCGCCGCAGGACTCTCTCGGGGACTTCGTGACCTTCGTCTGCCAGGAGCCCACAGATGTTGCTCAATTACAGGTAGTTTAAAAAATCTCTTCGTCTAAGGATAAAGATATATTAACGACATAGTACGGAGCACATTAAACCAATGAAGATGTAAAGGCTGATTGATGGATTGTTCCCGTGGACCGCCTATTCCTTTTGGATATATATAGCACGTAGGTCCCATTAGCTCCACATCACTTATCATCATCATCAGCCTTTATCTGCCCACATCACTCGCTGGACTGCAATTGTATGAATGAATGAAGGAGAATAAGTAGTACGTATCGGATATCCATGTAAATACTTATTTATTTTCCAGGTTCATAGCTTGTCGAGGAGTCCTAAGCCGGCGTACTTCAGCAGCTCGATGCTACCCCCACCCCCCCTACCCCCGATGGCGAGACCAGTAGCTATCATTAGATCGACAGGTATTTTTAAAAGCTTTTAGACAAAATAAATTTCTAGTCAATTCAATATTCGATATTAAGGCACCTCCAAAATCTTCCAAGCAGCTCGTGAGTGACCAGGAGCGCGGACCCTTCGTGAAATCTCATTTATTTTTTAGACATTTTTACTGAAATATATCGCAAAATTTTCTTTGGTTAGAAGGTGTATTCTGGTGTGCGTAGTTCAATGTCTTTAATCAGTTTTTATTTATAAGCTTGCCGTACCGCTCCTTCGGGGGGTTTGTTAATCGACTTTCTTTTCTTTGTGCTCCTGACGTCATTTATTCTTGTCTATAATAAAACAATTCTGGAAATTTGTCTATTTGGTTTTCAATAAGAAAACAAAAGAGAGAATGTAATAAACAAAATGAATGTCAATCTTGAGTTTTTTGGAACAAGGTTCCTTATGGGACGATGCGGAGGGGTACCCTAACCGGGAAAAAACGTCCGTAACGTAAGATTTGTATTAGTAATGCACACAGTGTACGACTTAACTTTGTAATAACGTACAAAAAATAACATATTTTTTTATCATTCATTGACCACGATCTCAGAGCGTTCGTTTGCGCAATACACTAACTCTTATGCAAAAAACCGTGAATGAAGTGTACCACAACGTTACCGAATGTCCGTGGGTTGTTGCGAAACCTCCAGTTTTATTTTCTTTATACCTCGAATAGAACTTAAAATTTATATTTTTATAATAAAGAACTTCGTTCCTATCCGGTGACCCACGACACCACACATCTTTTTTTTAAATAGTATGGATACATATTATGTTTAATGTAGCTAGAAGTAAGTTAAATGATTGACATGCAACGTGTGGCGGTTATGTGTTGGCAGCGAGCGAGCTGTCCCCCTCGCCCCCCGCGGTGGGGTCGCCGCCGCCCTCCCCCCGCCGCCGCTCGCCGCTCGCCTACCGCACCGAATGCCACCCGCCGATGTCCCACTTCAACCACTACCACACGCAGTCGCAGCAGGTACGTACTGCTGCACGCTACTACTCTCAGATGTTCAGAGATAAGACTAGTGAGCTGATTTTGTTTCGCGACTGTGGCTTATTGGAACCCGGTGCCAGAGATAACCTGTTTTGATCTCATTTAATTTGAAATAAATCACTTATGTTTCACTAGCTGATACGGCAGACTTCGTAGTGCCTTAATCGTTAAATAAAAGACCTAAACTTTTGTATAAAATAAACTTAAAACAAACAAAAGGAATCCGTCCGACGGGGAATCATCAAAGGAAAAACAAAATTGTTACTTTTATTTAATTCCGAGAATTTTCATATTTATCTGCCTTTTAATCCTTTTCTGGACTTCCACAAATAATTCAAGACCAAAATTAGCCAAATCGATCCAGTTCTCGAGTTTTAGCAAGACTAACGAACAGCAATTAATTTTTATATATATAGATATTATTATATAGATTTGTATAAATAAATAAAATCTACCCCTGTTTTGACATCGAAATAAGTGACTATATTTTAAGGCCACACTTGGACTTGACTGAAATCAAACCGCATTCAAATTCTTTTTGGTCCATCTGTTTGTTTGTTCGAACGAGATCGTGAACTGATTCTAGTGGAACTTTGCTTGGCAACTAGAGAATCTCACGAACTTAGGGTACGTTTGGTTCTAAAATCTTTAAGACTCATATACTTTTATGAATGTTGCGGCGTAAAATTAAAATCAAAAGTGGGAACCTCAATTTCAGTAATCCCGTATTGCGATATATTCCAGGTGTTTACGTCGTATGGCACGGGGCTGGGCTCGCTGAGCGGGACGGGGGGTGGGGGCGGCGCGGGGGGCACGTCCCCTCCCGGCGGCCTGGGTCTGTACGCGCCGCGACCCTCCAACAGGGCTCCACCGAGGTATGGCACTACACAAACCGATGGCCCAGATAAAACCAGGCCAGCTTTCATACGATTCTCAGAGCCTAAAGGCTTTTTGAATACAATTCAAATAAGCTAAATATTTTGCAACCCTTTTGTAACCCTTTGAGTATTCGAGATACTTTGAGTACTCGACGACGATAGATTGATGCGTGTAAGGTGCGAAACGTCGAAATACCTATTGCGCTGTTTCATTATAGGTATTAGGTTTTAACGCGCGCATGGATAACTTTTTTAGTAAATTACGAGTACATTACATTAGTAAATTACATTTAGTAAATTACATTTGTAAATAACTATTTAAAATTATTTTGCTGTGAATTCACGGTAGGCAGCAGTTTGGCTCTGCCCCTGGCATTACTGAAGTCCATGGGCGACGGTAACCACTCACCTTCAGGTGGGCCGTATGCTCGTCTGCATAAAAGGGCAATAAAAGAAAATTTGCGTTGTTTTTTTATTTAAAAGTTTTTATAATGTACTTTTTTTTCAAAAATTCTTATGTAATTTCTGTAAAATATGTGAAAATAAGCTCAGCACTAAAAGGGTTAAAGTTTTAGAGTGTATGGATATATGTATGTATATAAAGTCCTGTTAAATTGGATTCTTTACGTCACTTTGCGTGTTACCTTCTGCAGTCAGCGAGTAAAGCTGCTGTGTGCAAGTGAGCAGTAACGTCTAAACTCGCATTCTGGGCGCTGTTGGACCCTGCTGTTTTAGCGTTAGCAGTTAGAACAAAAAGTAATTTAAGCTTACACCCAGTCGGACTGTAGAAAGGTTAAAAAACGAATCCTTCTCATACCTCTTTTCGTTTCTAATTCCAGGTGGAACCCACCGTTCACGACGCTAGAAGAAGAGTTTAACATAATGACTGCGCCACCTGGTCCGGACCACGTAGTCCTACTGGATGATGGTTCGTATTGAAATTTGTTATTAGTAATCAGTTAAAATTTTGGGTCCATTTTGGAACTAACAGAGTAAGTAGCACACTCTATGTATTTGTCCTTTCAGAAGGAATAAATGGTTGGTAATTAAGTTTTAGTCTACGGCTTTCAGATCGTTTCTTCCAATCAAACGTGATAACATCAGAGGCAACAGCGATGGACACGTCCGGGGCAGTGGGGGCGGTTGGAGCGGCGGTCGGCGTGGACGGGGTCGACGCCCCCGACAAGGCGGCGCCGGACCTCCGCTCGCCGTGATCCCGCGCTCCCGGCGCCCGCTGGGTCGACGACCCCAGCGACGGAGCCGCGCGCTGCCACGTGCACCGGGCGGCCGCGTCCTACCCGACACCCGGCCCGCCCGCGACACTCGCGCCTCGCCCGCCGGACGGAGCGCACGTCTCCGTGCTGCGCTGGACGCCGGCTCCGCTCTCACATTGGCGTCCGGTCACCCATCGAACTGTCTAATATGACGTTTGTGTTCAGTGTTTTGTTCGCGACAGGTTATGTCGAGTGGATTGAAACACTTTTGTAGTTACTATTGCTCTCGCAAGACTCAATTACCCAAAGTCAATCATGTTTAATTACTAATTAATAATATTTTGATCATTGTTCAAATATTAGGATGTACGTTCAGTCCATTTGAGGTAATCGATGTCTGTGAATATAGATTCAGATTCAAGATGTAATTAGTGTTAATAGGAAAAAATATTATTAAAGGAAGTGGTCGTAGTTGGAATTTAGGATTTACAATTTTTTTGCGCAATGTCGGCTGTCTCCGGAGCTAGCAATGATAACATGATGATACATTGATTAGAAATTTATAAAATTGACCACCTAATGTCAAAACGGAGCGATACCGCGTGCACTCGGAGAGTTTCACGAAATAGACAGTCGGCATGCTTTTGATTTCATAAATTTACTAAAATATATGTAACAAGATACAATTCTCCAACGATTATATAAAAAGTAATTAAAAATGAAATTATAATATAAAACAATGAAATTATATTCTAATACTTTTATAGAATACAAAAACAAGTATGATATGATCAAAGCCTTCCAGTAAATTTAGTGAAATTATAAAATTTAAAGGAGTGCAGCTTGTATAAGATTCCTTTGCTGAGCTGTCAGACAGTGAGGACGGCCCCCGAGCTAGCCGCGCCGCTTGGGGGGCGAGTCGTGCCACTCGGGGGGCGAGTCGCGTCGCTCGGGGGGCCAGTCGTGCCGCTCGGGAGGCGAGTTGCGTCGCTCGGAAGGCGAGTCGCCACTCGGTGGGCGAGTTGCATCCGCTCGGGGGTCGCGCGTGTGATATTATAAGGTGTTCTGTTTCGTTGTTGTGTGTTGTATTTTAGATTTAGTATTGACATTGAAAAAGTGGTTTTTTGTAACTTATTGAATATTTAAGAAAGACGAGCCTTGCTTAAGGAACTAGTTTAGTTGTGTAGCCGAAAGTTTAGTTTTTAGTGAGGCTTGCGGTTCGGATGCCATTTTCGGTGCCATTTAAGAAGCTTTCGCTTGGTGTTTCGATCTCAGAATGATTTTAGCGAAGCTATAAAGCTGACGTCCGGATCGTAAGCTCCAATACGTAGTTCGGACATCGAGAATGATATATAGGTGCCTTTCATACAATTAATAAAGATAATAATGTAAGTACATAATTGTAAAATTTTGTAGTTTTTTTATCATCAGCTCATTTTATTTAAATCCATTTACTAACCTTAAACAAGTACTATTTATTTAACACTTATACATATATTTGNTATAAAGCTGACGTCCGGATCGTAAGCTCCAATACGTAGTTCGGACATCGAGAATGATATATAGGTGCCTTTCATACAATTAATAAAGATAATAATGTAAGTACATAATTGTAAAATTTTGTAGTTTTTTTATCATCAGCTCATTTTATTTAAATCCATTTACTAACCTTAAACAAGTACTATTTATTTAACACTTATACATATATTTGATTTCATATTCTGCAAGCATAATACTGAGATTTTTTTGAATGCTGAACTAATTTTTTTTAAGCCTTTTTCCGATTTCTTTGTCAGCAAACGACGCGGCCATATGAGAAAAGCTAGTCATTAGAATTATTAATTAAATTTAATAATGAGAAATAAATACTTGTATTGGTGTCCCTTATAAACTAACGTAAAGGGAATTATTAAAAAAAAAGTGGCCAAATTACTTTTAATGAAATCGATATATAATATAATTATTGATATATATGTATGTATGTATGTACACATTTTTGATAGATTTAGATTTACGTAACATTGTATGATTTTAGAATTTGAACAGTCAATGTTGCCCTTGAGGGTCTATTCGGGTTGTTAAGAATATGCGTTAATAGATAAGACACAATTGTTTTCTTGTTATTTTGTGATCCCTTTTTGAATTAATACTTCTGACAAAAAAAACTTTCATAGCAAGACAATCTCGCGGCTGTGTAAAATTGACAGGATTTTACCTTTGACATTGACGTTGCGAGAGGATGATCAGGGGTCTAAGAAGAAGGACGAAATCTGACTTTGGGTGAGACCTCTTCCCGAGTTCGGTCAACACTTTGAACTTATCTAACTTAACTAAGGATAAGATCTTGTCAATTCTGAACACTCGCAGGATCGTTGGTTAGCTGTCGGTTTGCCATAGATCCTAAAACGTAAACATATGAGGTGTCTAAGTATGTATGTAAAACTTATTCAAAATAACTCGTTTGATTCAGGGATTGGAACCGCTTGATTGTTAATTCTGTTCTTAATTGTCTTGGTTAAAACGTCACAATAGTTCGTAAGGCCGGCTCGAGTTTGTTTCAACAACATAATTTTGTCGTCCCTTTCAGTTTTGCTCCGAAAACGATGAGAGGATACTATTTAGAATTAGATGAATAAGGTAATAATAGCAATAACGAACGAAAAGCAATAATAAAACTAAAGTATGCGTATAGGGAAGCTAGGTTATTGTACTGAATGTAGTTCGGACACACGCAGATTATATTTTGTAATGAAAAATAATAAATTTAAAATGTCGGATAGACTGGTTTTTAAGTATATTACAAAAAAACGAATAGCTATTTCACGGAACAAAGTAAGCGGCCGGCTAGAGCGGGCGGAGCTGCGTAACTTAGTCAATTGCTAGCTGTAGACTGTAGACAAATTACGAAAGTACATTTAGATATAGTGACGTCATAGCTTAAAAGATACAATTCGTCAAAACATGAAAGGGACAGTCGGCACGCGCGTGCCTAGTGTCGGCGTCGAATTTAAATTTCAATTGGTGCCGAAATAATATTTCTAGACTGTGATTCAATTGTTCATTTCGATCGTGTCTTATATTGGAATAGTTGTTTGTGTACTGGCACGACGGATGCCGGGAGCGCGCTGTCCCGGGCTTGGGAAGACTCGCGATTAAGTTTTAACTGAACTAACACGCGCCATAAAGTTTAACCAACGTTACATTTAACTGAATTTTTTGTACATCACGTCACGTTGGCTTCGGTAGCGAGAACACATTCATATTGCATCGAAGCTCATTGATATGTCAATGAATTAGTCAGGATTTCACACACACACAGATACCGTTTTCTAAAGCATAACATTGTTTAGTGATTGTAGCTTTGCAGTTATCGTTTTCATTTTTAAATTGTAGACGTATAATTAATATGCAAGCGAAATACGTAGCTACCGAAAAAGTTGAAAGGTAGTTTGTAGATAAATCACTGAGGGGATTCAACAGCGGCATACGTCAAAATTGACAGCTGTCATAATTGTGGCGCCGACTACAAAGTGTCAACGTCAAGCAACAACCACAAGTGGGTTTAGTGATGTACTAATTAATGGTCTGCGATTTGACTTGTGCTCCTTCTGAATTCCCTAGCGATTACGTTAATTAGCCACACTGTTATTGATATTGAATGATAATTGAAAGCCTAAACATTATGTGCCTTAGATACAACAATTGTATGTTATATATGATGCGTTCTATACAACGTGCTAATTAGAATAAAAAAAATATGAAAAAAACATTATTTTGAATGGCTGGTACTTGGATTTCTATATTAATTAGTGTTCATTGCAATTGCTTCACGTAATTATGCATCCCTTGCCTCCAAACTTTATATTGATCTGTCTGTCTGTATCACACCCAACATTTGTAAAGCTCAAGTTGTGAAACTATATAACGTAGTTACAAATTTTCACCTTTGAAATTGCTTGACGTACTGATCGTGTTGCTCTATGTGCTTAGTGCGAGTTTTTTAACTTTACGATCGCGTAAAGTTAACTCATATTTGTATGGAGTTGGAACAGCGCCCCTCACAGCAAGCAAAGGTGAGATGTTCTAACTCCATATAAATTTGAGTTAACTTTTACGCGATCGAAAAGTAAAAAAAAAACGTGTGGTGTCGTGGGACACTTGATAGGAACGAAGTTCCTTAATATAAAAATATTAATTTAAAGTTCTATTCGAGGTATAAAGAAAATAAAACTGGAGGTTTCGCAACAACCCACGCTCATTCGGTAACATGCGAACTTATTGTGGTACACTTCATTCCCCGTTCTTTGCATAAGAGTTAGTGTATTGCGCAAACGAACGCTCTGAGATCGTGGTCAATGAATGATAAAAAATATGTTATTTTTTTGTACGTCATTACAAAGTTAAGTCGTACACTGTGTGCATTACTAACAAAAATCTTACGTTACGGACGTTTTTTCCCGGTTAGGGTACCCCTCCGCATCGTCCCATAAGGAACTTCGTTCCAAAAACTCGCACTAAGCACACTGAACTAGTTGTGAAGTCAAGTAAACAATTTATTACTATGTTATATAGATATGCTACATATTAAATATTGACTCTTTAAGTATTAGAACGAGCAAGCACCCTTCGTGAACTTAATTCCAAATTAGTCCATCTATGGAAAACATATTTACCATTACGTAACGCTTAAAGTGCGTAGTTTGCTGGAATATTACCTAATAATTATCTATCTTATATAATTTTAGTAATAATCTTTATACCCATTTATATTTTAATGGCGTGTCTCTATCTTAATCTATGCTGGTTTTTCTATTAGAATCGCTTTTATTTAATGAAGTTTTACTTATTTTGGCGCGCTAAAGGTAGAGTTTTAATGCGGACTGGAAAATTATATGTCAGAACTTTATTACGCAGGCGCTCTTCTCAGAGTTGAACGTGGAACTCAATTGGGTTTTGAAGTTTCGGTTAATTTGGAAATAGCATTTTCAGATTTGATTTATTTTTCACAACACTCATCGAAATATTAGTCGAGTTATTAATTTTTCTAAAATAATAACCTTCGTAATCTTGACAGCCAAATAATGGGAATTTATTGTGCAATATGGTCTTTTGGAAGAGCCTGAAAAGCCATATCTAATAGTTTTGTTCCATTCCCACGTGCACTTCTGAAGACTTCTCAATTCGGCTACTCGTTCGCGCCCAAAATGTATAAATAAATACTTCTGATTCTTCAGACACGTTTTTTATTCAAGATTAAGCTCTGTTGACTATATAAAAGGTCTATATTTTCTTGGTTTTTTTTTCCATTCTAAAAACATTTAATAGTTTAGTCGTGCCAAAGAAGTATCACTTCCAGCTTCTAACCTATATGTAGTGCATAACAAACAGCTACTTTTTTAAAACCGTTTAAGCACTAAGTTGTTTGTCGCATCGCTTCTTGATATAACTCAATTCAAGTCCTTATAATCTATAAAAATATAGTCGTAATAATAATTTAGACATGGAAAATACAAAATCCGTCTCGCTGTTAAGTTTTTCTCGAATCATCATATAACAGACATACGTAAGTAGTTTTAACATTAAGTATAAAATAACCGTTTTAAGAATACACTTAATTACGAACTGTTTCGTACATTTTATGTGCAATTTTATTTACTTGTGTAACTTCGTAATGGAATTTCTTTTCTATGTTGACGGAATTACAGCTAAATGTCAGGCTGAAGGTCGGTGACCTGTGTTGCGTGGTTATTACGTTTTTTTTTTGTTTTGTTTTAGCGAATTTATTAATTAATCTAGTTCATTACGGTCGTGTATGTAAATATGTTTCAATGTATGTTTTAAAAAAAAATTATGTAAATTAACTTTAGAATTCGAATTTATGTACGTGTTACGTTTGTCATCTCATTTCTTTATCGTGCTTCTTCTATAACCTTTTTTGATGTAATTGTTTTAAATGAGAAAGCGAATCGAATGACCTCTTCCGAAATAATTCAAACGAAAACACCAACTATGTAACTAAGAATAGGTTGTTCAATTATGCACAATAACAAAATAAATAAAATAAAAAAAACTAAAGATAGACTTGTAAAAATGTTAAAACATGTATTTTTAACCTATACATAGTAAGATATTTATAGAAATTAGTCGTTTAATTATTTCGAACGACTTGTTATAAAGAAAATTGGTGCTTAAGCTTAAAACAATTATGGTGTGGCACGATTGTCGTGTCCGGAATGTATTGTCGTGAAAGGGTCGAGCATTTTGACACAGCATGCGTTGTTATGCAAACGGCTCCATTGAATTGTCCATTGACAGCTGTCAAAACGGACAGACGTCAAATCGTCAGCGGTTAGCGTATCTCTCAGTTGTGTCAAAGATTATTTATTATGTTTTTATTCGAATGGACAGTTCAATGTGAGGACGCGAGCAATTATAATAATGTAGGTAAACTTTGCTCAAAAACGATGAAAAAAACTGAAAGTGTTACAGTTGATGCAATACAAACAAACAAACACAGAATTGAGTTTTATTTTGTCCTAATCTTAAAAAATAAAAAATGAATATGTACTATTATGTGTCACATTATCACTACTATTGATCACACTGCCAAATCAGATTAAGCATTCATTTTATTGGTGGTAGAGCACTTTATGAGTCGTGGGAAGGCAACGCCGTCCTGCCGGATTTATATTTCTTATATTTCTATATTGCACGTGCGAACGATCGAGCTCTCTGCCCATCACGGATGCGAAGTAGTACTTACATGTAGGCATGAGGTCTAACATAAGTCTCATAAGTCTCAGTTGTATTACTATACAACTACCGACTCGAAGCAGGCGAGCACTCCACCTGTAAAGATCCAGGTTTTTTTATTTATTTATTTTTTATTGCCTTTGTAGGCAGACGAGCGTACGGCCCACCTGATGGTAAGTGGTCACCGTCGCTCATGGACGTAAGCAATGCCAGGGGCAGAGCCAAGCCGCTGCCTACCATTAAGTACTCTCCGCAAGCCTCGTTTGAAGAAGGACATGTCATAGCGCTCGGAAAGAATCGTCGAGGGGTGTTCATTCCAAAGCCAGATGGTACGTGGTAAAAAAGATCTTTGGAAACGCACTGTCGATGAACGCAGGGGTATCCAGATAATATGGATGAACTCTGCTCCGATGGCGGGAGGTCATTCATGTCACATTACACCTGCGATTTCCACGGGAAGCCTGAAAGTGAGTACTGGCAAGCGGCTTGTGTCTGATGACTTTGAGCTTACTCGCTCATATAAAACTGAAAACATGTTTCGAAGTCTAATTCACAGAATTGCTTTCGTGAACACCGGACACGTTAAGATCCATAAGGGAAGAAGCACCGTCCAGTATTTTCGTCGGCTTTCGCGAGTCGCAGCCATAAAATTACTTTTACGGTCTTATATGTGATAATTATTGTTATTATATTTCTGACGCTTCGAACACTTTACTCGTATAGTGTTCATGGTCACAGACTGACGACAGTCGTTTTAAATATGTATAGTGGGCCCAGCTACAGGCTGCCTCGAACAACAGGCCCGATTAGCCAACTGCGGCGTCAAACTTATATCTCGACATGGGCAGTGGCAATCACTCTGGTATTTATGAAGAAACCACTTAACATAAGGTGAGTTGTGAGCTCGTTTGACTATGTTAGCGACATATTGGAGAGCTATTCTCCTTGCGTTATCATGAGAACACAAAATTGCTATGTACTTTATATTAGAAACTGATTATTAAAAAGTCAGTTCAATATTTGCGACACCCACTACTTTTTTACCTTAGATCGTGGATGAGCATAAGGCTCATCTGATAGTGAATGTTCACTGACGCTCATTGACATCAGCAATGCCGGAGGCAGAGCCAAGGTGCTACCGATATATCGATGCTGACCACAGTCTTCAAGTCTTGTAAGAAGAAGGAAATCACGTTGTGTCACGAATATATGTCTGTCTGGGCTTGAACACAGTTCCCTGACATTTGTATTCTGTGACTAAATGCAACGAGTAAGCTTAGCGGCTTCCTGGGACATTGAAGAGTCGTCTCCGGATATCCGTATTTGGTCATTTCTTTCTTTTTCCCTTTCGTTGTCTAGGAATAGATCTTAAATCGGTAGGTAGCATGGGTAGGTCTCTCACAAGGTGGACCGATGACCTATTGAAGGTCGCTGGATACAGAAGTGCAGGACCGGTTTTTGTGGCGAGGCTCGGGGGAGGCCTATTTCCAGCAGTGGACTGAATGATGGGTCTTAAATAAACCGAAAATATTATCATTTACAATCCTGCATCACGAAAGTTCAATAAATCGAAGTTCTCCAAAACATTGCGATCGTGGAAATCAATAGTCGATGCCTTATTCCATACAAAATACCCACTGAAACATACTATGATTTTTCCCTCGTAAAAGCTTAATGTATTTATGTTAAACTGACCTCTATACGTAGAAGATAAGGTCGAGTTCTTACGAAACATAAAGAGAGTTACGTCATTTGGCTACGATCGTCAGAACAGCGGATAATCGACGCCTAGCCTTGTAAAATATCGATTTTTCCGAGCGCCACTTTTACTTAAGCGCAAGGACAGAACATTAGCCGTCCCTGTCTCACTTAGATTGTAATTGCATAAGTTTGAAAAGGGAGGTTGGTTTTCGATCGTTTCGAGAAAAGCAGGGGTGCCTTGCGGTTGCCATGGTTACGGGTTGAGGGTAAGATTTCCGATAGAAAGATCTTGCTTGTCGATTTTCGATACACGATTGCCGACATGATGTCGGAACTGACATTAAAAGTGTTTGTAGACAATCATTCTTATCAAGTGGAGTTGGAGAATGAAGAAAACACAGCCGGTTATGACGGAAATGACTATTACATCGAGTCGGTAAGTGTTTAGAGGCGCCGTTCAAAATGGCGTCGCGAAGTCTATCTTAATGCTCTTTACAATTGATTTTCATATTGATTTGAAATTTTTCCCTCTGTGTGTTACCACCGGTTTTTGTTTTGCAGTAGAGCTTAGACTAGCGGATGGATCGTTTGTCTTTAAGCGTTTAATATTAATGGAGGTTAAATACAAGCTCAAGCTTAGTGAAAATTTGATTCACAAAATTAACAACTTGGAATTATTAATATTGAGTTGACAGAAGTGTGAAATGAGACGTTTTGCTTTTTACGAATGCTAATTAAAATTTAATTTAATAAAATTCGTTGTTTCTTTCATTAACATTTAATTTTAAAAACTAATGACATTTTCCACTAAAATAAGAAAAAAGAATGAAAAAAAAACTTTTAAATATGTCATTGTCTTTCTTTTTCACATAACATGCTTCTTTTACATTATTTTGCTTTTGTTTTTAATACTTTTTTGTTTAGTCCAAAAATAAATAATGTCGTGTAGAAATCTTCAATTCGACAGCGCATGCGCGATTCTTGTGTCATTTAGTAATTAGTACGTACCTACTTCTGTGTATTTATGTCGTCCTAGTATTGCTGGATAGGTTAAACTTATGACACGGCGACATCGCGCGTCGACTTAATTGACATATCGGAGGTTCAAGACGAACCTAGGACAGTATATCAGTAGGTATTTAGCGAGAAATGTTCACGTGTATTGAGGATTTAGTATTCACATTGTTAGTGGCATCGGCAAAGGATTTAGGAGGAAAGAAGCATTCAACCGGATTTTTATTAGCTAGGCTGAGTGATATTCTTTCCTATTATCAGCGTGTCATCTATGTATATATATAAAAATGAATTTCTGTTCGTTAGTCTCGCTAAAACTCGAGAACGGCTAGACCGATTTGGCTAATTTTGGTCTTGAATTATTTGTGGAAGTCCAGAGTAGGTTTAAAGGGTAGAACGATATGAAAATGCTCGGAATTAAATAAGAATAACAATTTTGTTTTTCCTTTGATGTGTCCCCCGTCGGACGGATTCCTTTTGTTTGTTTTAAATTTATTTTATACAAAAGTTTAGGTCTTTTATTTATCGATTAAGGCACTACGAAGTCTGCCGGGTCAGCTAGTCTGAAATAACAATGCATTGATGAGATTAATACGAAATATTTTTAATAACTTTGTAATATTTACTATGTGAGCATAGTCCATAGTTTTATAAAATACATTGAGGGTTGAGAATTGTCTCTGGATCTCCTGGACCAATGAAATGATTGTGCTCAGTCAGTCTAGTTTTGGTTTTTGGTGCAGTGCAAGTAATGGCTTGTCCTGCAACATGAAACTTAACCCATAGCGTCGTCGATTCGGTTCTGGTAGTAGATGCATTCGAGAAGTAGCTGCCCTCGAGCAGTCAGGTCTACTTATGGGGCGCTCAGGCAGCTGCTACCGGACAACCCCCCTCCTGTCCAGGGTTACGTACTTAACGCGCGTTGATGACATTCATGATGAAAGAATAACGGAAAGTAAAATAAAAGTCAAACCTGCAACAATTATAATTTAGGTAATTACTACTTAATTGAGTAATTCTCAAGTCTTAAGATGGGTCGTGGAATCCACGTTGTTATGTCTATGGACTCGTGTAATCATTTCACAGTTTGTTCGCCCATATGGTGGATTAAACAAGAGACAGCACATTGACATAAGCGACGTCGATCGTGACGTCAGCTGATCATAAATCAGCTCTCGAATACAAAGTGCACTTAAACTGTTCTCCAGCTCGTTGGGTGTGGTGACGGAAGTGGATCGTGACCACATCCCTTACTGTTTCCGCCATATGTCAGTCGAAACCCTATACTGATTTTTATAATTAACTACTACAATGGTAAAACTCACCTGGCTGTGTTGGGGCGTAGGTAATCAAGTTATATATGACAGCGTTTGATATTAGGCTTCCCATAAGATGGAGCGATGGCTGGACAGTTTTTGAGTGATTTTCAAATGAGGAGGCAAGGGTATAATAATATATGGATAGAAAATGGTAGTAGGGCATCTGCTACAGTTGAAGAACTAAACAGGTTGGTTCCGCTCCTAGATTCGCTGATGTCGCTCACACCGCTCGTCTGTCTTGCCAGTCAATAAGACCAGAACAAAAACTTTTAGCACATAAACTATAATATCCTTATCCCCGTCACAATTATTTAGTGGAGCAAGTTCCCATAAGGTCATTGCCCCCGACAGTGCACGCGTGCTCACACAGCCCACAGGTGCTCGGTCGATAATATCGATTCTTCTATCGATTAATCGATAGGTGACGTCACGCAATATGGCCGCCGCGAGCGCAGCTGTTTCCCTCTGTGTCATGCTAATAAAGTAGGGGTGCAATATGCGGAGGGTGATGTTTTAGGCACGCAACACATTTTAGGATATTTTTAAAGGAAAAAATGACCGGTTTTTATTTAAATTGTTGATTTAATTCAGTAGAACGAATTTATTCAGTTATGAATTATGGTGGATTTGTAATTGTAAGTTTATCTATAATCTGAAATTACGTTCCGCTGTTTTGCACATCATCCTATTCCGAATATTCTTGTCTGGAAGTTAAATGATTAAGTAATAAGTGAGTCATGTACATGAGCAGGAGCTTATGGTACAGATTGTGCTGCTATGGTTATATTTTACTTGTAGAACGTTGCCCAAAAATGTGCTTGAGAGTCGTGGAGTCATGATTCGCATTCGCATTCGGATTCGCAACTTTTCCCCTTTTCGAAAGGAATAGAGGGATGAAATTGAGGCTGACTTATCGTGATATAAGCAACGAAGCTCACACATACCAGTTGAGGTGACGCCAGATGGCAAGCGCCTGTTTGTCTTATAAAGTAGCCGCTCCCTTGGCTATCATGCCATCGTTATGGATGTACTCCGGCGACGGCATTACAACAAAGTCAAATATAAAGTACGGCCGAAGTCGTCGTGAGCTGAAAGATAAGCTGCCCGATGCATTCGCATATACCGATGCGATTGTGCCAGTGTTCGTATCCCGCAGACAGGTACCTATTTTTCTGATGAAATACGTATTTGACAAATATTCACGAATTACTTCCACGGTAAAGGAATAATATCGTGTAATAAAAATCAAATTGCAAAGTTATAATTCCCATAATTACTGGTGGTAGGACGTGTTGCGAGTCCGCGCGGGTAGGTACCACCACCCTGCCTATTTCTGCCGTGAAGCAATAATGCTTTTCGGTTTGAAAGGTAGGGCAACCGTTGTACTGTAATAACTGAAATTTAGAACTCATATATCAAGGTGGGTGGCGGCATTTACGTTCTAGATGTCTATAAGTTCCGGTAACCACTTAATGCCAAGTGGACCGTGAGCTCGTCTACCCTTCTGAGCAATGAAAAAAAGTCACCGCGATTACAAATGTACCTCTGCTATGTCTTCGCGATCAATATATTAACGTGCTCTTTGGAATTTGATTAAAAAAACCGTGAATCTCCTTTACTTTTTAAAGTTAGTTAAAAAGGTGAGAATATTATTAGATAATGAACAAAAAGTAGTGACGACCCAGCTAGCTCGGTGCGGGCGCGGCGTAGGGGCGGCGGCTCCGTCGAGTTGAGTCCTAGAGATGTCACTTGTTCAACGATAAATTAAAATAACTCAATTTGGGTTCAGAAACTTTTTTGTATCTTTTACGATTTCGTCAGATGCGCTCGCATCCTCCTCGATCCATCGTCCATCGCGATCCAGACATAGAAATCCCATTTATTGGGAATGGAAAAAAATATATATAATTTACTTATTTACTGATATTTTATATCCTAAACTTGAACTGTATTTATTCTGATACTAACTCACTCACACGAAAACTCCACACAAATATAATACCCCATGTTCAAAATTTTAACCACATACTCCAAACCGTGTCAGGTATGGTTGACAAAGCGGTGTCACGTATGGTTGACATTAAAGAGATATCTGGGTCGAGACTGGGTATGTCCCATCATGACCTTGTGTTTTCTAAAGCTATATTGAGCGCAACATGAAGTCCATTTACTGGAGCTCACAATTGACATGTTGAGGCGTTTATGGCCTAATTTGTACACACCCGGGTTGTCATATCGAGTGATATGATCACTCAATAACCCAATAAAACAGTTAGTTAGCATTAATCGTTTTCTCCATAATAACTTTATCGACATCAATCGCATCACTATAAGCATTATTGTTACAAACCAGGTGTCACACAGGGGTCACGGGTGCACAGGCGTCCGTGTCCGCGTACGCGCGTGTGTGTCTCACACAATTAAACACACATGCTCACATCAAAATGTACTGCTTAACATTCAAATTATTTTTTATAGATATTAGAATTAGACAGAGACTTGACGACTGTTTTAGTGAGAATTCATTTTGTTATGTGGGACGACCGTACATCATGTCATTGTGTCTGTGACTGTGTCAATTGAAGACTCTGTGACTTCTTTAAATAAACGGCATCATTTTATTTTTTTCGGTCTATCGGTAGGCTACAAAGATAGTCTGCAACGACTGGATCTTAGATAAATGAACTTTCGGAGATCACCAATGTCAATGAAAAGGAATACATATGAAATTACATTACGAAGAAATTGTAAGGCATTCCATATACAATATGAATAGGTGTGTGTTATTTTTTTTATTTTTTTTTATTGCCTGTATGTGTGGACGAGCTCACAGCCCACCTGGTGTTAAGTGGTTACTGGAGCCCATAGACATCTACAACGTAAATGCGCCACACACCTTAAGATATAAGCTCTAAGGTCTCAGTATAGTTATAACGGCTGCCCCACCCTTCAAACCGAAACGCATTACTGCTTCACGGCAGAAATAGGCAGGGCGGTGGTACCTACCCGCGCGGACTCACAAGAGGTTCTACCACCACTAATTACGCAAATTATAATTTTGCGGGTTTCATTTTTATTACACGATGTTATTCCTTCACCATGGAAGTCAATCGTGAACATTTGTCGAGTACGTATTTCATTAGAAAAATTAGTACCCGCCTGAGATTCGAACACCGGTGCATCGCTCAACACGAATGCACCGGACGTCTTATCCCTTAGGCCACGACGACTTCTTTTTTTTTTTTTTTTTATTGCTTAGATGAGTGGACGAGCTCACAGCCCACCTGGTGTTAAGTGGTAACTGGAGCCCATAGACATCCACAACGTAAATGCGCCACGCACCTTGGATATAAGTTTTAAGATCTCAGTATAGGAATTGTTCTTAAAAATTTCAAAGGTCAAACAACTTTGCTTAAACCTGTATCTATTTAAAATCTTTGTATCCAAACTTTACTAACTTCAAGATGTCCGATTAACTTATTTTGTCTACTTAACAAGAGCCGATTTTTTTAAATATAGTTTGCTATTAAAACATGTTTTTTTAAATTATTAAAATTTATTTATTTATTTAATTTTAACAGTAAATCTAAATTATTTATTTGCAATATCTCACACGATCAAAAGTAGACGAAACTAGGAACTCTTTGGTCCTAAGTGGTTCATTGGACAATTGTAAATCGCAAATACAGATCAACCTCTGCAGTAAAACTTCAGTTTCCACTTTGGTCGTAGCAACAACACAGAGATGTAGCCTCAATGTGCCAGAATGACTCACTATGTGTATTAAACAATATCAGACATATAACACTGATGCTAAGTTACCCAAGAGTCTTATAGTCTAGCAGCAGGGTTCGTACGGGTTGGCACCATCGTCCCATTTCTTATCATCGCAAAGCAATTTTGCGTTTTGGTACTAGGCTGGTAGATATTCAAAAATAACTCAAATTATAGATATTCAAATTATATTCTCATGTCGGTTTTGTGGGTGGACAACTGTGTAGTATTTGTGAACACCTTAGGAAGATTGTATGTTATTATGTAAAAATAACAAGATTGTACATGTTTATTGTTAGACTAGTTGTACTGAACTGTGTTTCCTATTAAAGAAAGCAAAAGATAGACAATGTGCTGATGTTTTGTGTCTTTCCCGAGGCCTTTTAATTATAACTTTCATAACAGAATTGAGATTTTACTATAAATATTCGTTTATTACAAATTAAATTGTATTTAAATAATATCCGTCAGTTATTTTTGTAGTAGATATTCGTATTAAATTGGTTAGTAGTTCGTGGGATACACTAAAGCTGCCTATGGCTTTGTATGTGGAGTGAACTCCGGCAAAGCGATGTCCACCGTCAAACGAGGGCAGACCCTTCGTACTCAGGGTGGTGGTGTAAGCGACAGTAATTAAAATGAGGTGTCTAACGCTGGCTCCCAACCGTACGTGGTTCAATTATAAAACTTGGAGTGAGCAATGTATTTCGAGTCTTGTCACAGTTTAGAAACGAACGTTTCGTAGCCCCTCGGGGTAGGTTAAGGGTGCATTGTGTGCGGCTCGCAACAAATAGCCCGACACGTGCCCTTGATATATTGAATGTTACTGTAACACTTAGACTTTAAGGTTGGTTATCGCATGTTGAGTCAGTAGTGGGTTATTCGTAGCGAGGGTGAAGAAACAAGGGTGTGTTGCAGGACGAGGAGTGCGGGCCGGGCCGGGTGCGTCGCGCAGGCGTGGTCCAGTCGGGCGCGCGACCCCGCAGCCGTCGGCCGCGTGCCATGGACGAGGGTCGAGTCAGAGACCGAGCGCCGCTCACGGTCATAGTGGCTCCCAGTACCGCCTCGCCACCGAGACTGTCTCCCGCCGACCTCCTGCCCGATGGAGATGCAGCCTTCCATCCTCTCTCCGCCGTCAACGGCCGCCTCACGCCGCCCGGCCTCGAGCCTGCTTCGTACGCGACCCTCACGCCGCTTCTACCCTTGCCGCCCATCAGCACCGTCTCCGATAAGTTCGCATACCACGCTGGCGGCACCTTCACGGTCATCCAGCAGCAGCCTTCGTATGCGTCGCTGTCTCCGGCGGCCTACAATGAGCCCCTGTCGCCACAGTCGGCGTACAGCCGACGGAGCGTGTCCCCCAGCTCGTTCGAGCGACGGTCGCCGACGCCGCCGCTGCCGAGTCCGGGGCTCGACCTCAACGCTGCGCTGATGGCGCGAGAGGATCAACAACAACAGCACCAGCAGCAAGTTATTCAGAATGACACTGAAGAGATAAACACTAAAGAGTTGGCGCAGAGGATAAGCGGAGAATTGAAGCGGTACTCGATCCCCCAGGCGATTTTTGCGCAGAGGGTGCTGTGTCGGTCGCAGGGCACTCTTAGTGACCTCCTGCGGAATCCCAAGCCCTGGTCCAAGCTCAAGTCGGGTCGGGAGACCTTTAGGCGGATGTGGAAGTGGCTGCAGGAGCCAGAGTTCCAGAGGATGTCCGCGCTCAGGCTAGCAGGTACGATGCATGCGCTTACAGTGTTCCTCTGTTGTTTTTGTATGAATTGCGCTTCACAGTAGGGCTACACGGTAAACAGTCTCGACATAAGAGAGCCAAACGTTATGTTTGAACTAAATAATAACAACTCTATTATAAGTCAACTCTCGATAGCTTCGTATTTACATTGAATTATTGGTTAGAACATTAGCCATTGCAATTGATTTTCAACCACGAGAAACACACGTAAAAATCCTAGTTAAAAATTGAAACTACATCACATTTCTTAATAGCTGTCTGCTTTTTGTGCAATTATTTATTTGGAATTCAAATTGACCTGAAAATGTAGGCTGTTGATTCACTTGGTTGGTTATCTAAATTGTACTTTTGACCTACTTATCTGCAGGAAATGTAAAATAGTGAGTTAGTACTCCTAACTCACTATTTTCATTTTATTATTCCAAGATCATACTACTAACTTAGTAGTACTACTAACTTAGTAGTATGATCTTTGAGCTAAGTTTTATACATACTGTACTACGAATATATAGGTATGCATCAGTCATTGTGATATCAGTTGTACGGTTTATATGAAGTGTATTATCTATATTCTGTAGATAGCCTAGAAGCAAATAATTGCTAATTTTCACCGAGCACTATAGAAATTGACACAATTATAATGTTTTTTTTTATTAAGCGTTATAAAGTTATCTAATGTACATCGCTGATTTTTTTCCTACCTATGCTGATAGCCTTGAGAGGCTATTTCAGCTTCTCCTTGACGTATAGGTGAGCTAACAGGGCTCAAACCAGAAGTGTTGTTAACACTAGCCTAGCAAGAGCAGTGCTTCGCAGAATCTACCACCGGAACGGAAACGCGACCCACTGAGAAGATCCGGCGAGAAACTCAGTGGGCTGTGTCTATGGGTCATCGCTGCTCTAAACTAGGGTTCCATAGTATTACAGTTAACTTATACATACACTAAATTCAACCCGATTCACTAAACTACTGTTTTTATTCAATCGTTACCGGATAATCGATGTTAAAAGTATTGAATTGATTTGTTAAATTGTGTTATTTAAAAATATGGAACATAATAAGTTTGTTTGTCTTTTAACTTGTCTTTTAACCTAAATTAAATGAGGATGATGAGCTCACGGATCTTTTAAGGTTCAGCGAATTAAGGACCCGAAATAATTATAATTGATGCGTGATAGGACAAGATGCCGAGATTGCGAAGATTTTGAGCTTTGTTTGACTTTTCGCGTCATGACTCTGCGTGTTATTACTATTACCATAAATATACCTGTTTGAGATTAGCCATTACCTAAAAACACTTTTCAATATGAATCCGTTGTTGCGTGGGACCGTATACTAACAACAAGCAGAAACCGAGCAATGCATATCAATGAAGGCTCGGCCAGTGACGCGACACTTCGATCCGCTCGCATCGATTGTGGCGAATCGATGCGAGCAGCTGACTCGACGTAGTAGCCGAGATAGCGCGCCAAAACAAACCAAACACTATCTTTACTATTGAACGGAAACACTATGACTATAATAGATAAAAGATGTTCTTTTTAATATATATTTACTAGTAAATAGAATATCAAAAAGTCATTACTTTTGGCGTGACGTATTTAGATTACGCCTTTTATTGTCTCGATAAAAAATCTCGGCTAATAGTTATTTCAAACCATTTAAAATTTCACCTTCATATTCCGTGGCGGGTGGTTTTAGTTACACAATTATATTAATCCCCTAAATGTGTATTCTTTTCACTCATCCTTCCTCTTCTAGCTATTAATTTAAAAAAAATTGTGTTCTTCATTTGTTTGTGCATTTTGTGTTCGAGCTTCGTTTATGTGGTTGATTTTAACCTGTCCCCACTTTGTTGTTGTCACTACAGGGTAGGTTTTTCTCCCAGTAGTACCACAAGTGGCACGCGGATTACGAAATTGAAGATTCGCTATCTATCTATTTTTCTGATGGCTTGGTTCACAACCTTTGTTAAGCTAGTGTAGCAAGTAATAGTACTAGCGTGGCCGTTTCTTTGTGACTCAATACGCGTTATTCAACCATTCCCACCCCAAACGCCAAGGCACATAGGCTCACGCGAATAGATGCGAACATTAATAATCAGGAACAACATAGTTGAAAGGGTTTTTCCAAAATGAATCATACATACGCTATGTTGAATCTTATATTAAAATTACTACGAGTATATTTTGGTGCGATGTGATGTCCGCTCACACTGTTACCACGGTAAGCTTTCCTTGCCAGTGACACTGGCCAAGCGATGTCGTGGGCTAAAGGATGAAATGACCAAGGTACTCATATCAGGCGATGCGACTATGCGATTTTTTTATTCCTACGCGCAGGTATCAATATTTCTAATGAAACGTGTATCTAGCGTGAGTTTACGAACGATTGCCACGATGAAGGAAACAACACCGTGCAATAAAAGTGACAATTAGAGAGTACTTAACAGTGGGCAGCGGTTTGGCTCTGCCCCTGGCATTGCTGAAGTCCATAGGCGTCGGTAACCACTCACCATCAGGCCGTATGACCGTCTACCTACAAGGGCAATAAATAAAAATTACGGGTTTTAAATTTTCATTTTGACTGTTTATACCAAAGAGCAGTCATTGGATTGGGTTTGGAGGTTGGGTAGCTGTGACAATACAATTGAGCTGCCAAACCCATGTCTTAAGGTGGTAGTGGCATCTACATTGTGATATCTGTGAGCTCCGGAAATTATGTAACATGCGGCAAGCTATAAAATCATTCGCCCATCTATCTAATAGAGTAATTTTTTTTTTAATAAAAGTAATTTTTTTTCAATCAAAAAAGTCATACAATTCAAAAGTTCCAAGTGCGTCAGCACTGTACTCTATTTAAAACAAATGAAACAAAATTTTTGAACATTTACGAAAACGTGAAGTCCGTAAATGCTTTGTAGTTCACTTGGAAAAAATCGGAAGGCGCGACTAGTGACGCGACACATCGATCCGCATGCATCGATTGTAGCGAATCGATGCGAGCAGCTGACTCCGCGGAGAAGAGTTCGCGCCAACTGATCATTGAGTTTTCACAATCAAACTTACTCTTACGGATTCATCACGCGTTTATTGATTTAATTTTAATAGTTCTAACGTTTAAAGTACTATAGAATCTACGTGGTCGTGAACGACATTTGAGTATTGTGTCAACTACCGTATAATTTTCTTTAAGAATATTTCCTGACATTTGTGTTATAATGCACAAAGAAGGAATTCGAAGTCCGTTTGTTTGTTTGACTTAGGTTATAATTCACAGATTAAGAAGGATCATCTTCCTTAATAAAATTGGGTTACTTTTTTATTTCTTTTGAAGAAAATAGTATCTTAGATTTTGCCTGCAAGTCACAGATTTAGCGTGGAGGGTCCCTGCCTATCTATGTTTGTTAATGTCCCCTGCCATCGCAAGAGAGCATCTCTGCAAAGGTTTTCAGCCTCTCAGGATCCTTGGGGTCGATACAATCTGTGTAATGGACTAAATTATTATTCAGATATATCATTGTTTTTTTCAATAAAATCGAAGGCTTTACTATCTGAAATAGAAAACTAGTATTCAAATTAGAGTTTGCAGTTTTCTAACTAACACCTTTAACGTTTTTTTCTGGAAGTAGGACCTCTTGTGAGTCCGCACGGGTAGGTACCACTACCCTATGTATTTCTGTCATGAACAAGTTATGGGTTTCGGTGTGAAGAGTGGGGCGGCCGTTGTACTGTAAATACTGAGACCTTAGAACTCATGTCTCAAGGTGTGTGGCGAAACGTTACGTTATTGATGTCTATGGGCTTCGATAACCCCTTAATACCGAGTGGGCTGTGAGCTCATCCACCGATCTAAACAATAAAAAATTACCTTAAATGTCTTATAAAATAATAGTTATGTACTTTATCTTATTTAGATTCCTTTTTAAATTTTTTGATTCTGAACACGATGACAAAGAGTTTTTAGTATTTGTATTTATCGACATAAATCAGCAGTTGAACTCGCGGTCCATTTATTACTAAGCGACTATTAAAGCACATGAAACACATGAAGATTTCACACCAGACGGCGGCAGGATATCATATGTACGTGCAGGCTTCACCATAACGCTGTAGAGTAGTTTTTGCATAATATATCTTCCAATAATAAGTTGTATTAGAAGATCTCGTCTTCAGTTCGTATCTGTGTGGAGTGACGTGTCGCATCGATCGCGCTCGACTCGGTAAGCGCGACTGGCATCGATTCTGCACAATCGATGCACACAGCTGACGGCACTAGGCCGCGCTCCCACCGAGAGAGAACTTGCATTCAAAACACTTTCATCTTACATCTTCACTTGCATTTTTAATTAAAACATTGGTTTTAATATTTTCATTTTTTTTTAATCATGCCCAAATCTTTAAAATGCTCTGTTATTACTTAGCACTTGAGTCATAGAGAACACCAACAATGGATATTGTCCTTAAATTTAATTGATTTATGAAAACGAGTAAGAGCAAAATTCTTAAAAATAATACAAATGATTCTGATTGAATGATACTTGCTACTCTGCTGCTATACTAAGCGTCGCCCAATGCAAACATAAACTTGTGGAAATAAAGTACTGTTTTAGGTTATTTAATTCTACTTTATAAGAACTAATAGAATGAAAACCATGTGTTTCAGTTAATTTTCTATGTAATTCTGAAAGTTTCTCCCAACGATATTAAGTACGGTGTGAGCCCCGGACTACGCATCTTAATGTAAAGTTTCTTTGAAATGAAGGTCTCCCACTTAGCACTTTGCACTGAGTTGCCTAATTCATTATTGAGATCAGTTTTCAGTATTATTTCAATTGAGATTTTGTACACAAAAACTGACTTTAGATTTTGGTGGAATTTTGAGACCCATTCAAACCTGAAACAAGCATTCCTACTTTCCACATTGATAACGTTTCTAACTCTATATCACTCAGGGCTGGTTGAAATGAAATACGAGTATAAAAGACCGCGCTTATTCTTAAATTAGTAAGGATTTATGATTTTAATAATACCGGTGTTCGTAGTGATCGAAATGCGACCGTAATTCTTATACATCAAGATTAATTTTATGTTTTACTGTTGTTCTTTTGTTTTGTTATTAACAGTAAAAAACAATCTCAAATTAATTGGACTTGGAAAACACACCAAATTAACAAAAGCGGAGAAAATATTTATTATATAACTGTTTTATCTATGCTTACTTATTTAACTAGGATCTATGTACGAGTATTTCACAATTTAAATAAAAAATGAATGCTTATATGTTCGTTCTCTATGCGTTTCTAAATTATTCATTCCGTTGTGATAGAATTAAGTGCAGTCATTACTGGTATTCCAGGGTAGGTTTTTCTCATCAACGTACGAGAGGTAACGCGTGGGCAATCAATGTTTTTCATATAACTTATGTTGGTCACAGCAGAGTGACCGGGTTTAACGTTTAACAAATATAGATTTTCATTTATTGTATGGACACGATGTGTGGATCGCTCGATTGAATCGATTTTGCTGCTTGAGAGAATGAAATATACACATAGAAAATAGTCATTTTTGGATCAGATGTGTGAATAACTCATATTCTAACCAATGTTAAATGGCTACCAAATTCCATTTACATCAATGCCACCATCCTTCTTGAGTCTTTGACCTTTGTCTGAATAAAACCCTTGAAACTGGAGCGTATGTCTGCTTTTCATTAGAAGTATGAATGGTGGTTGTACTTACCTGTGGGCGCGTATCATGCACTCCCAGGTATTATATCTATAATAAGTTCTATATTTGAATACTAAACAAATTTCTAATAACTATCAATAACTTTTAATCTTAGTATGGTTTATGTTAGTATTTTAAAATTTATTGTTCTCTATAATTGGAACTAATCAAAACCCCAAAAATATCTATTACAAAATAATTAATGGGACTACATGTATTTTTTTAAATAAATGATACACGATGAACGCTCTATATCGCGTATTATTCGTTCACACGGCCACATTACTGGTACACGGGTTTCCCCCTGTGACGTCACACCCCACGTCCGCCTCGCTATCGATCGACTCCCTCCTCTCCCCCGTTGTAGCACAACCGTGCTCCGTTCTGAGCTTTTTCTTCGAGCTTTTCACCTTTGGAGCCTATATTAAGTTTTTATTCATAATTTAGATTTCGGGTTTTAAATATGAGTTTTGTATTACAACAAAAACCATTTCACGTATTTTTAAATGAAGCTGTAATTTACTGTAAAACATTGTTGTAAATAAGGTGCTTAAAGTAATATTTTTCAAAGCAATATTTAGGAAAATAGAATATTATTAACATATTAAACACGCAGTCCATAAAAAACTTTATATACACAAACCGAGACAAAGGAAAGATGAAACACAATATCCACTGACTACTATATCACAAACAAGTGTTTGAAAATACCTACTGCCTTGAAACATTATATCCTTCTTCATTACTATAGAATACTAAATACAGAAGGGAAGTGGAAACGAAAGGATTCACCATTTTATAATTTTGCAGATACGCCAAACCAGCATCAAACGATAAAAGGCGACAATGTAAACAGCATGCCTCAGCAGCCATACTGCCAGCCCCGAGAGTACCAGGGTGCTCCGCCCCCGGCTCAATGCCCCACAATGTACCCTCCGGGGCCTCCGCCACCCTGGGAAACGCCATATGAACCAGCCGGGGACGTTTCTTGCTTGTGAGTCCTCCCCACTCTTGATTTGACTCCTGGTTTCCATCATATCCCTATTTCCTGTCGAAAGCCTAGTAACTAACACTCCAAGTTACTATAACTTATTGTTCTTTCCCCGTTAATTAACTTCATCATGACTTAATTAAAACATTATTATAATTTTCATAATTTCTGATTTTAATCATATTTTTTTCATCTTTTATTTAGATGACACATCATTTCTTTAAGCATTTGATAATAGTTTTAAAATGCTCATGTATTCCATATTTATATCCTTTAGAAATATCCGAATCCCATACAACCTTGCCTGTGGCTGCGTAGCAGTGGACTTGGTTTCTTATACATAGGTACTAACTGACTTGTAAATAGCTTGTCGCAAAGGTAAACACCACATGCATACACGATACTTGAACCTTTCATCGTAATTGGAACACGTGATTGTCTAACGAGTAACTACCGCTTTGTGTAAGCCAAGCAAACGATAGAAAAGTGAATATCTGAATGGAAACTTTATTTTTATAATTCTGTCGAATCCTGCGTAAACTGTATAGAAAAATGCTGAAATAGATGTCGTATCGTTTTGAATAGGCAGTATCCTTTCCCGAGCTTTAGTACTAGCGTTTACAGCTTTGTGTTTCGTGGCATCGATACTGTCTAGAAAATGTTACTTTAGAAAAGTTGTTGAATAAACTTTATAGTTGTAGGTAAGTGTATTTTGTTAGCTTTAAGAAGCCAAGATGAATGTTAGACTGCTAACGCTGCCCCCTCCCTTCCATTTTGTTTTCCCCCAACGCCCGGGCTGCCATAGTTTTATTTCGTATGATTTTATAGGTGCCTGCGAGACAGAACTCCTTTTTTAAATGTTGTTTACATTGTCGCCAGGTATGCGTTTTCATATTATACGTTTGGTGTTTTAGATTTTATTGCCGCGTTTTGGAACAAAATTTGTCTGTCTAAATTTTTTGTGTGCTCTACATAATTTCACTACATTTTCTAATATAAAATTTGCCCCAAAACGTTAATTTAAAATTATAGTAACGAGAAAACTTCAAAAAGTTTGCCACCGGAGTGGTGAATTTTAGAATTTCCACTAAACTTTTACTATTTCAATTTTAGCTTTGATACGCAATAGTCACATGTGATAGTAAATGTTATCTAGTGCGTATTGAAGGTTATGTTTAGAGGCATGTTTGTCGTATCTAGTTTTGTGAAATAATTTTAGTTTTTTAAATTCATTATTATTAATTTAAATATTATAACATAAGCTAATAACACGTGAATTTGTTTTTGTTGCAGCGGCCCAGATTCCACAGAGAGGCAGTAAGTTTGTTTAATTTTTATAATTAAATTTAGATTTGAACAATACACTGACTAATCAATTAATTATATGGCTACATACTGGTTTTCTAGTATTTCATGTTTTGAATTAAATTAAATTCGCTCCTTATAACTTTGATTCTGGATGTTCACTTTTAATTTTTATGCGATTATGATAGCTTTAAGCCTAAAAGTTGCAATATTTCTCATTAAAAATAGGCATGTTGTATATCCCAGGCTGCAAGCGCAAGGAGGACATGGGCTCGGATACCCTGCCTTCCCCGAAGAAGCCGCGTTTGGTTTTCACCGACCTCCAGCGGCGTACTCTACAAGCTATTTTTAAGGTAATTATCTAATGCAATAGAAATTAGCTAAAAAATAACACCTCAACTTATTTAAATTACTGATGTATTGGTACAGGGACAGACGGCAGTATGTCGCAGACAAATAGTATTATTGAACGTGCATCTATTCTGTACCTTTTATTGTATATATGCTTAACCAATTTGCTTCCAAATCATTCATCGGATTGCGATGAAACTTAGTCCGGTTATCTTTGGCACTCCAAGAAAAGTTTCCGTCATAGTAGTGTCCCTATGACATTTTTTGGTACTCCAGAGTGTAGAGTTGTTCTAGTCCTCGTCATTTTTATTTAAAATATATTTGAAGAATCTTGTAAATTTCGTGTGGAGTCCAATTAAGAAAATTTATTTAAATAGGAAAAAGAGCAAGTCCTGTTTTTCTTTCCGATCCTTCTCAGCGGTGTAACTGCGTTCTTAACCGGTGATAAGGTTACGAGACAGATCCTCTTAGATAGTAAAACATTTTATTTTTCTTTTGAGCACCATACATGTCAGACAGATTAGCGCGAGTGAGTATTTCATCAAGAGAATATGTTTTTCATATAATTAGCGAAAGTCTCGACGGATATTGACTAATTTTGATTAGTAGTTTGTAAGACATATTCTCAGATACGAGCTACATTGTACATATTATATTTTTATCTTATGTTAATTGAATGTTGTGTTTTAGATAAACGTGTGACGTAAATGTAATTTGCCGCGCTAAACAATATTGTAGACCGTTATCATTTTAAATTTAAACTAAATGTCGTGACAAAAATATAAAAGTGATATTGAGTTTTTTGAAGAAAGTTCTCTTAGGAGTGGTTTCACCTCTTCCAAATTCAGTTTCGTTTTATTCAGAACTTTCCAGCAGAATCAGAATTGCAAGAAAGTCAAACAATTTTGGTCATTTCTCAATTACATTAGTGTTCGCCAAAAAATCAAAATTAGACTATAAGCACCGACACTTCTGAATTTCAATACATTTTCTCTCCGATGGGTTGGCCTTTAAAAGAAAAACCTTACAGAATAGAAATTGAATCTTACAATAAAAGATGAAGATGTCACTGGACATCTGACTCTTTTTATATCACTTAAGATTAAAGTCAGCCAAAGGAATAGCTCATTGTTAACTGAAACAGATCGCTACGACACATTAAACCAAAAGAGAAAAAAAAAACTAGTTTCCAATAACCTGATTACTCTTACTCTCGTCAAAAAACTACATCAGTTGATAAGCGCCGAGTAAATAGTCCTTAACTGTTTGTTTTTGATCACTAATATATATGTTTATATGTATGTGGGTATAGATTTGCTGAAGTAATAAATAATCATTTTAAAATTCCAGGAAACAAAAAGACCATCAAAAGAAATGCAAGTAACGATAGCGCGACAACTAGGACTAGAGCCGACGACGGTCGGGAACTTTTTTATGAACGCCAGGAGGCGGTCTATGGACAAGTGGAAGGACGACGATGCGCCGTCCACGGAGCTGGACCAGCAGTGCGAGAGCCAGGACATGGATCAGGTCCCGAGCTTGGACTCGGCGGACTCGGAGGAGGACGGCTGCGAGGATCACGACGACCATCTCTTGTGACGCCCTCTCTCGCACCAGCAGCTGTTAGTGCTGTAGAGTTGCTGGTATCGGATGTTGAGCCCCTCGAGCGCTTGGACTCTTGACGTCACGGAGGTTCTGTTAATGTTCTGTTGACTGGTGTCAGTTCTTACTGTACTGGTTTATGTGATTTTAAACTATCGTTATTCAAAAACGCGTATTTCAAAAGAAACGGGATTTAATCGCGCGAACCAGACGCTTGCCATGTACGTTGGACTCTCGAAGTAAGGACGCGACCGACCGCTGCACTGTACCAAGGCGAAAATACACAGTTCACATCCGGAAGCAGCAGCAGTGAAGATGCTCCCCACATGTACTGTCATAGTCATTAACTAGTCATTACGTTAAGAGAAAAATACTTAAGTTATTTTCAATAATTTTTTGTTTCAATCTTTTTGAACGTTATGAAAAATAATCATAATATGAGAACAGAAAAATTGTGATTATAAAGACATTCCATATCTTCGACAGTTCGAAGTGACGGCGTCAGGCTGAAAGTAAGATGTGAATTGACGTCTGAATTTACGTCTGACTTGAAGTCTGAGCAATATATACAATAGCAACGAGCTTGGAGTCACATTAGATTCACCGCGCACTGGGTAGATAGAGAGGGTACATGAGGTGGTGGATCGATCCTAAGTGTTCATGAATAACGCCTCAATAACGGTTCAGTCAGTGGCCAGAACAATCGTTGCACTAGCTTTGAAAAGCTCTTTAAGAAAAACATCTTTAAACTAAGGTTAAATAACATTTTATGAAATTGAAACAAAAGTATTTCAACTTTTAGTTAAAGTATTAGAGAAAGAACTTTGAAATTCGACCTTCTGCACTTTATCATATCGGTGGTAGTATTGCAAATTACTTTATTGAATCACTAACTCATTTAAAAACAGTATCAGTTTTCTTAACGTTCATTTTCTTTAAATACGGCTTTCCGGTGCAGTACCGCCATTGTGATTTAATACTTAGTATTGAACACAAATACTTTCCATCTATTACTCTATCCTGTATATATTATCTCTACCACGTGTGCGGGTTGTGAGTCTAATGTACCTCTATCTTGACTGATAGCTCGGCGCTGTCTCCATGTTTAGCAATGGATCTCTTTATATCAAGTTCTAGTCAGAACAAATAAATTAGGTTTGATTTTTAGTATATTTTAAATGTGTTTATTATTTATTAGTGTTCGCGCATGATCACTGACAGACGCTTACATTTACTAGACTTATTGAATTAGTGTGGTAAGACTAAAATATTTTATCATTTTAGATTTGTTAAAATGTGTTACCAGACTCTAATAATATTTTTTACAGAACTGTAATAATTAGGTTCATTTTTTGACAGATTATTTATTTTAAATGTGCAATATTGAGTGATGGAAATCGTGAAATATAGCTAATTAACAAAGCAGCCATGTCGTGGTCAAAATTACGGTTGTTAAAAACATGTAAGAATCATTACGCGATTGTTACGTAATGGCCGCATTTTTTGAAATAAGTCGCCTTAAGTTCTTGAAGCGTGCGGTGGTGTGGCGCCAAAGACAGTTCAACAGTGTCAGCATGTCCTGGGTGGTCAGTGACGGCTGACCGCACGCTCGCAACGCGCGTCTTTTGAATAATTAGCTTATTGCTGAATTAGGCACAGATAATTGAAGCAATGATATGTCATTTACTTGGTTCAAATTTCGAAATTTCAAAAAAATGCGGCTACGCGACATTAATATCTACATACATATATGTATTATACCGTCGAAGCCTTTTCAAAAGCGTCTGTAAGCTCAAGTGACTAGATATAATTAAAAGCTACGTAGGAATTATGTTTTAAACTTTATAGAGATAATGTCCGATAAAATCGGGCCTTGAGTCTTTAGGAATTCTGGTTTATCTGAGTATTGAGACGTTTTCTGGAATATGTGAGCTTTTTATTATTTTAGATGGTCAGAATATCTCACGGCCTCCCTGATGCTTAGAAGTTGTGAGAGCGCAACAATGTCACAGTGACCACCACGCAGTTAATTTTGAGACATGCAGGCGAAATCTTGATTTAATTGCATTAGCGATTAACATCAGCGGAGCCGTGAGCCACTCTGAACCGAGGTAATAGCTATCCACACAGTATTGTATCATACAGTGGGCACTATTATATTATTTAGAACAATTTTTTTAATTTTATTATACATATAATGTACTCTAGTCAAGTGAATTCTAAACATTCCCTTTGTTTATACAAAAATATGTATCAATTCTTTTACGACATTACAAACATGCTGTAACTAATTCCGGCACAACGCTTTGCCTCTGGAAAACGAAAAAAAAAATAGACTACAAACAATATATCTTTGTTACTCCACGTTGTAGATATCTGTGGGCTCCAGTAAGCACTTAACATCAGATGGACTTTGAGCTCGTATGTAAGCAATAAAAAATAAATAAATAAACTCTGCATTTACATGTTGTGTTGCAGTCCTTTTGATCATTTGAATTGAATGTGTCATGAATGAAAGGGCTGAAGACAAGAAATGCTTGAAAACCATGCATGATGATATAACATGATGATGCATTAAGGCGTTGTCAGGGGGATTGGTGATGTGATTTGCATCCGCATATTGGCCTTCATATGAAGTCGAAAATTGGACGCTACTGTATTTGTTTGCGGGACACATAGGTACGATTGGATCTCGTTTTTAATTTTCATCGGACCATTCGTCCAGTTGTTAGAACAATATTCGAGACTTCGAAGATTCTAAAATAAATAAATAAAAGTGGTTATTCAATCGATCAATTAATCAAAATTATGAACATTTTGTAAATGATATTATTTTATTGATGTTAATGATCATGACTAGAATGTAAAGTGGAACAGAAAAGCGCTTTTAAATGAAAATTTAAGGAAAGCTTCATAATGTGTATTACATTATCAGTTATATCAAAACGGTGAATTTCATGAGCAAATGAGTTTTTTCATTCAGATGAAGTCTTATTTTTTTATTAACTAAAATAGTTTATGTTTATTAGGTTAAATTAATGTATTTCATGTTTAATTTAATATTTAAATGGAGGACATATTCAAAATCTGACATCGTTAAGAGAAAATCCAAGTAATCATTCACATTTACTATAAAAGAAACAAAGTGTCTAGTCCAACAAACTAATCAATTTTGAAAATCTAGTCTAATTTGTGCAAAACGTAATCTTAAGTTTATTATAGTTTTTAATTAATTTATTTTAATTTAAGTAAAGGGTCAGTGAAGCGTTTTGTACCGCCAACCATGAGTGAGAGCTCCGTATTAATTTTTTTAGTAAAGTAATCCGAAATACTTATTGAACATATTTTGATTTGTAGCAACTGAAATAAGGGCCGTTTTCCAATTACAGCACAAGAGCGCATTATGCGGCATAATGCTCAACTAAGCTTTAGCATAATTCGGCATTGTGCGTCACTGAGCGCATTATGCTTCGTAATTAACCATTACTTAATGGTAGTTTTCCAATTACAGAGCATAATGATGCGACTCAGTGACGCACAATGCCGAATTATGCTGAAGCTTAATTGGAACGTGAATTAGTTTTCAAATGCATCAGCAGAGTGCGGTAAGTTAGCACAGTTTTAATTAACATTGATTATTTCTAAGAAACTACGACGAAACGAAAACCTTACAATTTTTTTCAACATTAAATAATATTACTAATGATAATATAAACAAAATTTCGATCAATGCCAACTTAAAGAAAAAACACTTGTAAATTTTCTGTCACTGAGTCGGTATCGATTGCGAGTATCACGCGAGAGCAGTACTTTTGAGAGTGCACGATTGTGCTTCGAGTTGCTGTAGTTGGAACATTCAACGTTGAGCATTATGCCGCATAATCTCTTGTGCTGTAATTGGAAAACGGCCAAGATTAGCCGCATTCTGTCATTGCTCTCATAGGAAAATTATTGAAACCATATTTTTTTATCTTGTATTCCTATAACAATTTCAGATACTAAAATAATTTGCTTTAAATTCTGAATACTTGTGTTCAGCTTCTGTTTAATTATTGCTAACGCTCCGCCTACTCTGTTTAAGTTTTATAATAATTTATTACTAAGCAACTTAAACTAGTCTGTGTAATTACCACCAAAGATGTTACGCGTGCAATTTATATGTTAAGTAAACGATATTTTTGGAACAAGTCGCTGACTGAATTACTTCGGACAGTGTGTGCTGTCAGAGATAACATAACGAACGAACGATCGACTATTAGGGTATTTTTTTATTGCTTAGATGGGTGGACGAGCTCACAGCCCACTTGGTGTTAAGTGGTTACTGGAGCCCATAGTCATCTACAACGTAAATGCGCCACCCACCTTGAGATATAAGTTTTAAGGTCTCAGTATAGTTACAACGACTACCTCACTCTTCAAACCGAAACGCATTACTGCTTCACGGCAGAAATAGGCAGGGCGGTGGTACCTACCCGCGCGGACTCACAAGAGGTCCTACCACCAGTAAAAATGAACAATAAAGCATTTGTAGAGCAAGCAGTTTTGCTGTGACGGCTTCAATAGAACAATTTAAATGACGAAGTAGTGAATAATTATAATATGTGTATGTATTGTTACAGCTAACTGCGCTCAACCAAACAGTGACTTAGCTCTTTCGATCTTCGACCTGTCCCTGAGCTAACTTAACGCACGATTCCTTAAGTTGCCTTCTTTTGAATTCAGTCAGCGACATTTGTGTCTAGCTAATCTAGAAAAAGAGCTTTCTCTGTGACACTCCACTATACAGAATGAGACAGTATTAATAGACAATTCTGAAAGTATTATCGAAGATTCTATCTCCAACACATTGAAAGTTAGATAAGGACAAAAACATATTTTTTTTACTGTAAATACAATTAAAAAACGTGTTATTCTGAAATGAAATTATTTAATTTTCGTTCATAATTAAAGTAACGATAGATGATACGTTTTTACCTTGAAATTGAACTCGATATTGCGGAGAAGATTGTCGTCAACACAATCTGACGCAAAGTCGAGTTGTTGTTATTTCATTTCCAAAATTAGACTTATTTATTTTCACTAAATTGAAGATATGAATCATGTTTTATTTACTTAATTTAGAGCATACTTTACGAATGCAGTGAAGAAATATTTTTATGTAAACCTAGAGTAAAGGGGTAGCTCGCTTTCTTATGTAAATAGTTCGTGATTAAATTTAAGATTAAATGTAAATTTTACAATGAAGTATGACTTTGATTGTGGCAGGATCTATCCACGTCACCCACGGGCCGGACGTGTCTTCACTAGTGGTTTTACTAATGAACCTTCTCTAGTCAATTAAAGCATTTTCATTTCCGTAGTTTCCTATTTTCATTTTAAAATTCCTAACTTTTCGAATTTCGTGTTTCAAGATTGGTTCTTAATGAATTATTAAGCTTTGTATGACCTACATTTCTAATTTCTATAATTATGCTAATAGTAATATAAATAATCAAGAAAAAACATGAATTGCGTTAGGGCATTTAAAAGATTAACTTGCAATCGTCTTGTAGGATCTTACCAATGTTGCCGCCGTTGCGTCGATCTACCTAAAGACATCTGACAGTGGAAGACCTTCCCTTTATCGCTTTTGATCAATTTTTTTTTTTTTAAAACGGCCCCGTGATAAGTTCGTAAAGAACTTGTGTTACAGGTACCAGATAACGGATATAAATGTAAGATTTTTATTATACACATACATATATTTAATATACATCCATAACCCTGGAAAAGACATTTATATTTATCATACAAATATGTTCCCTTGGCGGGATTCGAACTCGCGACCCCCTTGTGTAGTGACCATGTCACTTACCACTACACCAGACGGCCGTTCTTTAATAATTATAATTAGTTGAATTGAACTTTACTGGTAGTAGGGTGGTTTGTAAACCTGCACGGATAGGTACCACTACCCTGCCTATTTCTACCGCGAACCAGTAATACGTTTCGGTTTGATGGGTGAGGCAGCCGTTTTATTGTAAAATGAAGACTTAGGAGTCATGTCTGAAGGTGGGTGGAGGCTTTTACGTTACTTATTTCTATGGGCTTCGGTAACTACTTAACACCAAGTGAGCCGTGAGATCGTCCCACTATTTTAGGAATAAAAAAATCTTAAAAGTAGTGCATTTGTGAAGATAAAAAGCTAAATCGAGATTACAATATTTGAATAAAATAAATTGCACCTACAGCTTCCGAATGACGGTATTGAGATCATCTCAAGAACAGTATCAGGGTGGAAGTGATCTTCGCTCTGTAGTAGAAAGCAATTACAAACCAAGTTACAACGTTTTTTACTGGTGATAGAATCTCTTGTGAGTCCGCGCGGGTAGGTACCACCGCCCTGCCTATTTCTGCCGTGAAGCAGTAATGCGTTTCAGTTTGAAGAGTGGGGCAGCCGTTGTAACTATACTGAGAACTTATATCTGAAGGTGAGTGGCGCGTTTACGTTGTAGATGTCCATGGGCTTCAGTAACCACCTAATACCAGGTGGGCTGTGAGCTCGTCCACCAATCTAAGCAATAAAAAAATAAAATAAAATAAAAGTACCACAAATACCCGACTAGCTAGCTCCCTCGATGAACAACAAGCCCTTGAAATTCTGCCTAATTATTGGCACTGCTTAAATACTTATAAAAAGCACAGAGCTTAGGACAACGCTTAAACTTTTTCTGACGTAAGCATGTATCTCAACTATGGAAGTAGTCATTTAACATCGGGTGAGCTGCAGACTCATCTATAGTGCTAGGAAAACGTAAATCTATGGCAAAATCTTGCTCCCACAGCGAAAGTAAATGCATAATAAAACACCAAAAGCTTTAATCCAATGCTTAGTTACGGCTTAGGAGCTTACGCGAGCTTTTGGGTCTATCTCCAATATTAGCGACGAATAAATTATTCAAACTAGACTCCTAAAGCTTGAGAATGAAAAAGGTTATTTCGTTGTTGGCGATGTAGAATTTTTTGCTGAAGCGACGTCGTCTTGTGGCGGCCTGAAGGATAAGACGCCCGCTGCATTTGTATCGAGAGATGCAAGTCTTTCTCAGGCGTGTACTTAACAAGTCGTTTGTGAACACAAAGAACTTCCACGAAAAAGAAACATATGGCAGTAATAAGCTCGCAAAATTTATAAATAAAAAAATATGTAAGTTCTGTCTTGCCCATTTATGCCGCGATACGGTCATACGATCCGGTTGAAGAGTTGGAGGGTGTTACGGCCGGTCAACAATACAACTGAGATTTTCACATTTTGTCACAAGGCGGGTGCTGGTATTTTGTAACCGCCTAATACCGGATGGAGCGTAACCAAAATCGTAATGCATTATCGAAAACCCAGTACCAGAGAGTAGAATCTCTCTCATTGCGGACGGCATCCTGCAAACTTATTTACATAAATCGACTTCTTACTGGTGGTAGGACCTCTTGTGAGTCCGCACAGGTAGGTACCATCACACTGTCTATTTCTGCCGTGAAGCAGTAATGCGTTTCGGTTTGAAGGGTGCGGCAGCCGATGTAACTATACTTGAGACCTTAGAACTTATATCTCAAGGTGGGTGGCGCATTTACGTTGTAGATGTCTATGCTTCAGTAAATACTTAACACCAGGTGGGCTGTGAGCTCGTCCAACCATCCAGGCAATAAAAAAATAGAAACTTCTAATAACTTCCAAATACGTAATGCAAGTTTATTTAAAAGTTCAGTTGAAGGAACAATAAAGTTCAATAAAATTCGTGCACCGTCTGTAATGAAAATTATCAGTAACTTTCATCTTTACGAACATTTCGTAGACCGGGAATTTTTGAAATTTTCATTTCGTTAATAGTGCTAAATGCTGGATGCTGAATGTTCAGCTTTAGCTCCGGCTTCAGGCTAAATTCAGGCCTTTTCACTACCCCAAGACAAAGGCCTTTGAGAAACTCTTTGGAAGCAGTGAAAAATGTACAAAAGGTCACAAGAGCTTAAAGCCGTGGAAGAGAGACAGTGTTACGGAACTAAGGTGGTGCTGAAGTGAGATAGAAGTATGAAAATCAATTTATTAGGCAGTGACGTCACGAGTCACGCAGGCGCACTTCGCTTGTTCCCGGGACAGTGTTGCTGGCACATTCAATGTAATCTGCAAAATAAGGGAAAATTAATTAATACTATAATAAAATAATGTCATATTATATCAAGTAAAAATAGCGTCTGCTGTTTCAACTATTCGAATGGCAATACAGAATTCTGTTTATTTAAAATTAGTGTTTCGACATCAAACAAACATATTAAAATGATTGATCTCATACATTATTCACTCGCACAACATAAAACCAACGTTTATGATTCTTGTAAATGAATTATTGCAATAAAGTATTGTTCCAAGTCATGACATAAAAAATCACAGTTGTTAGTGTTTTATTGCGCATTAATATTAAAATAGTTTCTGACCGCTCATCTAAGCGAAGTCATAACACAAACAAAACGGACTCGTCATGAAACCGGCTGCAGACTAAACACGAAATGCTCCGCGAGCTATAAATCTCGGTCGACATGAAATCATAAACGAAAACAATGTCTTTAAATGCTAATTATAGTGATCGTGTGGCAACACTCTCACCATCTGGGCGGGAGACCGAAATAACCGGCGCGGGGGGACCAGTTGTCGCGGCGACGGTGCCGTGAGGAGACGCTATGGCGTCCGTCGCCGCCTGGCTGCCCTTCGCCAGAGCAGCAGCCATCGGGTGGGTCCCCATCGCGACCCATCCACTTCCGCCGCCGCCCGTGCCCAAGGACCGCCGCCGCGCCGAGGACGAGAAGCTCCTCATCAACGTCTCCGGACGACGCTTTGAGACTTGGCGGAACACTCTCGAGAAGTACCCGGACTCGCTGCTTGGTTCCTCAGAACGCGAATTCTTTTACGACGAAGACAGTCGAGAGTACTTTTTTGACAGAGACCCGGACATATTCAGGCATATTCTGAATTATTACCGCACTGGTAAACTCCACTACCCCAAACACGAGTGCCTCACGGGCTACGATGAGGAACTCGCGTTCTTCGGCATCCTTCCCGATGTCATCGGTGACTGTTGTTACGAAGACTACAGAGACAGGAAGAGAGAAAATGCCGAACGTCTTATGGATGACAAGCTTAGTGAAGCAGGCGACCAGAGTCTGCCTCAGCTCACGGACTTACGACAAAAAATGTGGAGGGCCTTCGAGAACCCCCACACGTCAACGGCTGCCCTCGTGTTTTACTATGTGACTGGATTTTTCATTGCCGTCTCCGTGATGGCTAACGTAGTGGAGACGGTACCGTGCGGACACCGACCTGGCCGGGCCGGGACCCTGCCGTGCGGCGAACGCTACAAGATAGTGTTCTTCTGCCTGGACACGGCGTGCGTGATGATCTTCACGGCGGAGTACCTGCTGCGACTGTTCGCGGCCCCGGACCGCTGCAAGTTCGTTCGCTCGGTGATGTCCATCATCGACGTGGTCGCGATCCTGCCGTACTACATCGGCCTGGGTATCACTGACAACGACGACGTCTCGGGTGCGTTTGTCACCCTCAGAGTGTTCCGAGTGTTTCGGATCTTCAAGTTTTCGCGGCACTCCCAAGGGCTCCGGATCCTGGGCTACACGCTCAAGTCGTGCGCCAGCGAGCTTGGCTTCCTGGTGTTCTCGCTCGCGATGGCCATCATTATATTCGCGACAGTGATGTTCTACGCGGAGAAGAACGAGCAGGACACAAACTTCACGTCGATTCCGGCCGCCTTCTGGTACACCATCGTCACGATGACCACGCTCGGGTGAGTGATTATTTTACTTTGGTCGCAAATTTGCCACCTGTCGCCGCCATTAAAAATGTACGCGGGAAAATAACTGTCATGGCGTCGCTTTCCCCCCATTAATGATTATGTTCGTTAAATATGGACGTGGACGCGTGCGGTTTAATTTCTTTCCCATTAGTGGACCGGATGAGTGCAGTCTGTAATCGTAAAGAGTTTTGGGGAGCAACAGTGGTGTCGGCGGCGGCCGGGGGCTTCGTATTACGCTTCAGGTACTCGACGTTGCATTACGAACATTAATAACGGAACGCGCGTGACTGAGCGGTGTATTTTTTATTAAATTATGTTATTTGAATTGATTTCTTTGTGAGGCGAGCGGTGCGTTATATTCGCGCACACATTTGTTACACGGTTATTGATTGAGTTAGGAATTGTAAGAGTTCGTTCTTGTAATTATATTACGTTAAATACTAGTGTATGTTTTTGTTTTATGTTTATTTTTATTGTTAAGATGAGTTGGCACGAATTCTAAGTATCTATTTTGACTATACAACGGCTGCCCCACCCTTCAAACCGAAACTCACTACTGCTTCAGGGCACAAATAGGCAAGACGGTGATACCTACCCGTGCGGACTCATAAGAGGTCCTACCAGCGGTAAAGATGAATCCATGGGTTAAGGAGTTCATCCGTTCGGTCTGTCAAGGAGAATCCATGTTTTGCGTTACTTCGCGTAGATATAATTCATAGTATTTTTTACTGTAAGCCTTATTAGTCTGAAGTCTTATTTCGGATAAAGATCATTGTCGTTAAGCCTTTTACAACCCACAATGGTGGGCATCGGCTAGCTGTACCTCCAGCGCTGCTCCATGGACTGCTTATCATCAGACGGGTCGCAAGTTTGTCGTTCGTAGATGAGAAAGAGTATATAAAATTATAAACAGCATTTATTAATGATTAGCCATAATGACGATACCGACTTATTTTATACATTATCTATATTAATATTATAAAGAGGACAGATTTGTTTATTTGTTTGTTTGTATTGAACAGCCTCCGAAACTACGGAACCGATTTGAAAAATTCTTTCACTGTTTGGAAGCTACACTATTCCCGAGTGACATAGGCTATAATATTTTTGGAAAAAAATTAGGGATCCTTACTAAAACTCCAATAATGTAACCCAAACTATAAAAAAAATACCTAAAATATTCTTTACATCGCGTGCCCTGCGAAAACTATTGATGATAGAATAAAATATTGTACTACGACTTTGTAGAACACATTATTATTTACAAAAACTAGCGCGACAGTATGTGTCTAACTATTACAGTTATGCCACAATAAGTGTTTTTTTATTAAAAAAAATAAAACAACGTCAAATATCGTTGAAATTTCTTTAAAGACCCGAGTGGAGCCGGAGTGGGCCGCTAGTGTCTGATAAAGTGAATGTAAAAAAAAATTCTCTGGATGGAACCATAAGTTGGCGACACATTGGGGTGACACACTGCCAATGGACGGCTTTACCATTCCTCTGTATGATAGGCATGTTCCAATAAACGAGCTCATGCTTCGCGGTGGACTCACGCTCTGATGTCTATAAGCTCTCGTGGTCATATAACGTCAGGGGGTCGGTTAATTATGATGCCCATAAAAACTATTTTCCTATCTAGATCACAATTATTCCCGAAATAAACCGTGCCATAAGGTTCCGTGACTAGTTAACATCATTTATACAGTACTTACGATAATATATCTGAATCTACTCGAACGAACACGAATAAGGACCTTGTTCTCATTGTAATTTTAAAACGGACCACAACTAAAAATAAAAAGCCTTGTATTGTAAAGGGTTTGAATACCAAATTCTCTTTCAAAAACAAAAGAGTTATATATTATAGAAATCGTAACAAGAATATCGCTTCTACGATTATTATCAATATTTTTATTGCTTAGATGCGTGGAAGAGCTTACGGCCCACCTGGGGTTAGGTAGTTATCGGAGAGCATATATACCTTAACGTAAATGCCACCACCCACCTTGAGATAAGCAAGGTGCGGACTCACAAGTGGTCCTACCACTAGTCCTACCTTCTCGACTGTTCACCTTCGGTCAGCCACCAGCATCAGTACTAGGACGGAACTAAACAGAGCGTCAGCATTTTATGATCTACTTTCTTATTAGAAATGCTTTACTCAATCAAACTCCAATTCGAAATTAATTAATTCAGAAACATTTCAAAAGTTTTTCAATTTTCCTCGCCACAAATCATGTTTATGACTCCCGAAGACATCAGGAAATACTACAAACATATTAGTTTCAATATTGCTCCCATAATACAACGATAAAAAAAAACATAAGCTTTAAATTCTTGGCAAGAAAGCTCGCACGAACATAGTTGTACACTTTACCTAGAATATCTTCATTATGGCAATTTCATTTCCTCTCCACCACTTTATCTCCTTAATTCTGGATGGATGCCAAATACATCAACAACTATAAACACGCTACTTGTAAATAGTATTACGTATAATATTAATTATTATGATGAGATCGTTTGTTGTTGGACTGACGGAAAAGCAGTAAGAAATTCTTCTTCTACCATGCTCATTACCTGATTCGGATTGTAAGTATTATATTTTCATTACATTTTACGTGCAAATAATAAATAAATCTGATCACAATAGTCTTCTCACTCGGAGAAGGTACATGTGATCACAATGGAGCTTACTTTAAAACAATTGAATTTATACGGCACGAAGTGTGAGAATGCACGTGATCATGTCACCCCGAGCCTCCTAGTTGCTGGTCCGCCTTAAACAGTAACTCATCCTGATCATCTAGTGAGCCCTCAGCAGCGGCATTTACGATTCATGAGCTCCCGTTTCCTCAATCATCCCAAAATGGTTCCCTAATGAAGAATTATGTTCTTTACTCAATGATTTACCTGACTGTCATCTTGTGATACGGCGTAAATTTTTAATTTTTTATAAAATGCTAGAGTCATTCAGAGTATGGAAATATTATAATTACATGAAGAAACTTAATTATCTTCAATTCTTTTACAGAAATTGGCAATATAAGCGAAGTCACAAAACTATATTTAGTTAGATAGTTATCAATTAATAATAAAAGTAACTTAAACAAAGATAAATTGTTTTTTCGGTCGCGTGAACATTAGAATTAATAATAACAAAGGTAACGGGCTTGGAATTAAACATACATATAACAAATATCGATCACAAACCAGCAGACCGTCGGTAGCTTAGAGAGCACAACAAAATAAATTCACAATATAATGGAGTCCTGTCTACTTTTGTAATACATAGAATAAAATTAGTTAAAACTACACAAAAAAGTGGATTCAAAATACATCGATTGAGCGATGTAAAAATCTGAATACCGTCGCGCACCTTGAAGCTTGAGGTCGTTTTGACCATCCCAACGGGCACACCTGAGTTTGGCAAGATCACTTAAACATTTTTTTAAATTAGATCATGGAGGCTTACAAGTTTATTTGACTCGGAGTTTCCTCCTCGCGGTGAGAGAGCTGGGGCGTTAGGTAGACGCAGCTGGCGTTGTTTTCTTCAACGCGTGTTCGGATATTATCAAACGTATATGTATTCATAATTATTGGCGTCGATATCCGGAGTACGTTGACGAGCTGCAGACCCGTGCCCCGCCCGGTCGAGACGCTCGGTACGCGCAATCAACGTCCGTGGTTACGAGAACTCTGAACTACTAAGTTTAAGAAAACTATTAAAGAACATCTGTGCAATAAAGCTTACTATAAAGTCAATGATTATCTAGATGATTGCACAAAGTGGGAATGAGTTGCTCGCTCTTGGCATTTCAATATTGCAATAATTGTTACGTTATAATACTCATTGTAAAATTGAATATAAAAAAAAATTAATATAAAAGAAATATCTAACATTTAAAAAAAAAGACAAGCCCGCTGAGTTTCTTGCCAATTCTTCTCAGGACGGAGGCTAGTTTTTGTGAATTGGCTGCAGTTCTTTTTAACATTCAACAAGTATGTACTTTCATTTATGTTGAATAAAAATTATTTGATTTGATTTGATACTGGGACCGCTCTACAGAGATTTTTTTATTTTTTTTTATTGCTTAGGTACCAAACCCATCTATTTATTTATTATACTCTAGGGCTCGTCAAGTCAAGGCCCCTTTATTCGATAATAAGTAAAGGGTAAGTATCATCTACCTACATATTTCTGTACCAAAGCCATCTTAGGATGTGTGTGTGTGTATCATGTGTCAAGGTGGATGGCAGCGTTGATATTGTGATGTCTACGCTTCAGTGGCTACTTCACACCCGATGGCTGTAAGCTCGCACTTTTATAGAGAAAAAAAAACGAGGCAATGTACGAACGAGAATACTTCTTAAAGTTTTTGTTTCATTGCATAGGAACTGCACGTATATTTTGGGTGTGAAATCCTTCGCTTCGAGCCCACGCGGGTGGTTGCTCCCGCCCTGGAGTGAAACACTCACGTTACGCCATCATGTTTCGAAGTCGTCCAGCTATTGGTGTTTACAATCATTCTGATGTAGGTCATTGCCTGGTCGCGCGTCACACGGACCAAGGTTCGACATCAGAAATACCTGGCCGTTATTATTTTTAGTGAATTCGATTACGAAATCCAGCAGCGCATTATCTTTAAGGGATTCTGTTCGATCCAGTGCGTTACTCAAATTCTTTTTTGCCGCTACCTGCCGCTAACTTCTTTCCGCTGGGCTTCCTGACGCTACGACATGTTCACTTCAACAAAGGCCCAAAACACGTCATTTCGGATCCTCCCGATCCACTAACGGTGCTTTTAGGTACCTGAAGCACCGGTCATCGTTCAATTAACCCACAGACACAACCCACTGAGTTTCTTGCAAGATCTTCTCAGTGGGTCGCGTTTCTGATCCGGTGGTAGATTCTGCTAAGCACGACTCTTGCTAGGATTCGTGTTAGCAACGTCGTCAGGTTTGAGCCTCGTGAGCTCACCTACTAG